CATAGGTAGTACAGTAGTAATGAAAAAGAAACAGTTTTAAGGTTATGACAACAGCACTTATTTATGAAAGTTCAAAGANCATTCAAGTTAACATTAGAGAACTTGAATGGCAGGTCTCGCCAGGGCATGAAAAAGGTTGGTACACCATAGGTAGTACAGTAGTAATGAAAAAGAAACAGTTTTAAGGTTATGACAACAGCACTTATTTATGAAAGTTCAAAGATAATGTTATGAAGGCGATTTGCCAGCCACTTTAAAGAGTAGGAAGACATTCGGTTTTCACACATTTATAACATAATTTATGATCTTTGTGGTGGCTGAAGTGTAATTTTTAATAAATCAGTTATTGAAAAAAAAGCAAAAATGTTCAGAAAATTACACCGACTCGATAATTACAAAGCAGACAAATCAGTATATTGATTTTTCTTGCTCACTTTGATCATAAATGATGTTATGAATACAAGAATACCAAGTACATTTCTTACCCCTTGAAGTGGCTAGCAAATCGCTTTTCATAACTTGACATTCAAACTCTTGACACCTTTACCAACCTTCAACCACTCTTCTGTTCATAATAATAGTTTCATTTTTATTTTTCACTAGCAGACCCCACCACGCGTTGTTGTGGCTCAAAATGTATCTATTATAAATTTATAACACTTCCCCCGTGGGGGGGGAAGAGAATGTACACTAAGAAGAAATTTTTCGAGAAATTCCCCCGTGGGGGGGAATAATTTCTTCTTAGTGTACATTCTCTTGACGTACCCTATTAAAACGCAATCAAAAACGCAAAAACCCGCATCTAAAATAGTATAAATAGAAGCAGAGTTCTTTACGGTAAGCCTTAATCCCGTCCATCTCCTGGGGGATTTCAACGTGTGCGTATTCGAATGCAGAGTTGTGTCAAAATTTCAAAGGAATCGGTAGGAACAAACGAACATTATATTTTTATTTATATAAATAGATAGAAGATGATCTGCTTTAGTTCATTTTCACAGAAAAGCATAATGCCTCACAGAAAAGCAAACTTAGGGAGTTATACTCGTAGCGCCATCTGTTGGACATAAAAGCCTTAACCCTAGATGTTATAATTTAATTTATATGAATGTTTAACGGAATAATGTATAGCCTATGTCCACCCTGAAGTTCCATCCTAAATATTAGTGAAAGAATTTTTGAAATCGGATGAGTAGTTTCGGAGATTACCTGCTACATCCAAACTTACATATAAACATTACCTCTTTATAATATTAGTATAGATTACTTCCACCCTGATAATTTTTTGTGAATTAATAATTAATCAATGTTTACTTTTTTTGTAATTTTTGTGTTCCATTTATCAATGTATCCTGTTTAATCTGTTTTTTATTTAGAATTATATTAAAATAAGATTTTTACAGCTGAAAAGATAAATAATATACTGTGTATAGCCTATATTTTAATTTTATACACTACATCTACTTTTTGGTAATTTCACATTCCTAGAGCAAATTTGATGTTTTTGTAATCCATCATATTCTTCACTATATGACAACCATGTTAAAATACAGTATGGCTATCAGCATGTACCTCCCAGTAGCAGACAAACTTCTCAGTCCCGATAGTGTGTGTTATTTTGGAAATTATACTGTGTATGTGTGTTATATATATAATATATTAATACATGTATACACACAGTATATTTTGTTCAAATTGTAACAGTATTGTTTTAATTAACAAATTAAAAAAAATATACAGTTGTTAAAAATTCTTTATTTAACTTCATAATGTGTTTTGGCATTTGCTCTCATCAGATTATTACTGTAAATAAGCATGCATATCAATAAGTGTTAACCAATATATATTCAAATTTAGTGTTGGTTAACACTGAATTTGGATGTGTAAAATGGAGTCTTCCGCTGTCAACAGTTATGCAGTTAGACGTTCTACAGATAATAGTCATATGGATTACTGTAATTTACATATTTAGCATTTGTTTCCAGCAATTATTAATTTCATTATATTGGCCGTTTATTCTTTTAGCTTCTTTATTAAGAGCCATGTTGTTGTTAGATGCAGTGATTGATGTCTTTTTAGAGACATTTATTGGAAGTTAACTTTGCAATAAATCATTTGTTGTGCTATATTAATACTGTATGTAAATATATCAGGAGGATCTACTGTTTAAAATTTAAGCAAACAACTGCATAAAATTTTTGTTATTTGGTTTAGAAAAATTAGTATTGAAATATTTTAAAGATAAAACAAGATCTGAAATTTAATAAATATACAATATAAACACATTTTCACAAAGATAAAATCTTTGCTTTCATTTCTCTTCTGTCTCTGTATCTTTGTGAATTTTCATGGAGTGCTGCTGGTGTAAAACAATAGAATGTAAATACTGTCGGCCGTGTGTTTTTTAAGATATGAAATGTTGAAAACACATGGTTTTTGAATAGGCACAAGTCATGTTCAAACAAGTCTGTCTTATCTTTGGAAAAAAAGAAAATTGTGAATGTGAGTCACTGAATTGCCATTAGTACAGTATTGTAATATTAATGAAAATGTTATGTTAGCTTTGTTTTTGTTGACACTGACATTACTAGAAGTTATTGTAAATTTTTTCCATGGTTGTTTTCCAATAACTAAATTTTGATGAAGATATGTTGTGAAAGCAAGTATTTTGAACTATCATCTGAAATTTTTTAGAAAACTTAAAATATTTAATTAATGATTCTATTTTATACTAATTTCTGTTATGAGGCAATCAAATAATTGTAGTACTGAACTCAGTTATAGTTTCATTTCTTTTCTTTTTCTTCAGTTAAGGTAATTGTGTAAAGATTGAGTGTTTTAAATTTGTGCAATTATTAAATTTTCAAATTTTTTATATTTAAAAATGTTTTTAGTATAGTATTGTTTTAAAATGTTAACCCATTCAAGTTAACATTAGAGAACTTGAATGGCAGGGCAGAGGCAGACTTTAATTTTTCAACCATTGATTGTATGTCATCATGCAAGCATCACGTGTTTATGTGATGATTGTAAATATTTACAAGTCGATTAGTTTGGAGAATTATGATAAAATTACTTCAGTTTATTTAGATGGGTATTAAACACCTTTAAATTGGTATATTAGAAATTGACAGCATGTTGTGATTGATGTATTTGTATCTAAGGAAAGCATTTTATAAGCTACTAGAGATAAGTCTAGTAAACCTGTTGAGAAGAGTCTTGTTGGAATGTTTACATTGGTGTTTTTATTTGCATAATTATGTGGGGAATGTGTCCATGTACATTTTATAAATAATATGATTGATATTTGGTAATATAATTTTACTTTGTCTGTTGTACATATATTAAAATAAATTACAGATTAATAATCAAAGTATGTGCTATTTTATATAAAAGTTGTCATATAATTTAATTAGTAATTACTACATACAGTAGATCCCCCTATAAGACGGTAGATACGTTCCGTTCTTTATGAATCAATTTTGTAGGAATCATAGTTTAGAAAGGTTTTCTTTCATAAAATTAATCGATTCTAGACTAATTCGACTCAACATTTCCAAAATACGTATATTTTTTTGAAAATAATCCGTATAAACTACGTTATAAACAAAAAATTGTAGGATTACTTACCGAGTGTGTACACTTTGACTACGCTCGTTGCTAAAGCTTGGTTTCGTCGCGGAACAGCGCATCAAATTGCGGCCGCGATTTCTGATATTATTTTTCTGCGAAAACTTCGTTGACCTTTGGAGACATCATTAATATAAATAATTTTTATGGCTGTTAAATAAGAAATGTTTCTTTCACAAGAAATGTATAAAATTACAGTACTAAACAGACGATAGGTCGCCTAACTCGCCGTAGCGTGACGCTAGACGGCGAAAAATATATATTTAATTATAATAAAGTTACAATAAATTAAGTTAATATATAATTATATAATTTATATATAATTAATATATAATTATATGTACAGTACCTAATTTATATATAATTTATATAATACTGTCCAGACGATAGAAATCTCTCCGTAGCGTGGCGCTACGGACGGCGGGTAAGTAGTTCGGCTGCCCGATGACGTTTTACGTATTATAGGAGTTATTTTTACCGTTGTTTACGGATAATGCCACAATTTTTATAGGAATCATAACTATAGGAAACGCTTTTATAGGGGGATCTACTGTATAACCTTTGAATTCAGATATGTCTTATCACATGTGATTCATTTGATTAATATGATGATACTCAAATTTGTGTATTCAATAAAATCTGAAGTAAGCTTGCATTTTCATTATAGTTGGTAAGAAATGTGGGTTTTTGTTTATTTTGCATTCACAAATATTTTATTTATCTTGATACATTTTTAAAAAGTATGTAGGCAGAGTAATCAGTATGCATAAAATCATGCCATGATTTTTTAGAGTAATTTATGTGGAGTGGAACTGGTTTATATTTGGAAAAAACTGAAGTGTTTTCCAATTTTTTCAAAATATAATGAATTTCTCACTGAGAAGTCAAATATTAATCATTGCAAAATCTGGATGCAGAAGGTATAATCAACTTCAAAGATGCCTTTTTTGATCATTTATGTATCTTAATTTTTATTTCTATTTATTTTTATACATTATATTTATGTTGTTTTTAGTTCCTATAAGTATTTTATTTTATGTTAATTATTTTTTATGTAGTTATATTATTCTTATGTTAAATATTTACCATTTTGAATATTCAGCAAGTGACATTTGATATGAATCATATTGTTCAACTGCATGTATTTTAAATTTGTTTTTTGTTCCATTTTTGTTTGATCTTAAGAGTCTGAGGATGACCTTTAAACAAGGTCAAAAACATTTTAATTCAGTTAATAAATTATTTTTGTAGCTGGACTTGCGTGTATTTGAAGTTGAGTATGAGAAGTCAAATTTATACTTTAATATTTTATGTATTAAAATCAAAATAATATTTAAATTTTTAAATATTGTTACATATTATTACTTTTCCAGGTGAACTAGTAGCTCTGAAGAAAGTGAGATTAGAAAATGAAAAAGAAGGTTTTCCAATAACAGCAGTTAGAGAAATAAAAATACTCAGACAGCTTAATCATCCAAGTATAGTAAATTTAAAAGAAATAGTTACAGATAAACAAGATGCTTTGGATTTTAAGAAGGATAAAGGTAAGTGAATAAATTTTAATAATTTTAAATATGAATACAGTAGAACCTCGAAAACTCGGCTCTCAATAACCCGGCACTCCGGATAACTCGGCCCCCACCCTGACAGGGCAAAAAAATCCTTAGTTAATTAATTTTCATTATAGACAGCTTTATAAAAGTATAAAAGCTCTCATAAAGTATTTTTCTGAGGTCTGTCTTATCAGGTAAATTACTGTACACAGTGTATTCATTAATTTTCATTTTCATGTAGTAAAGGCTCTATGCCTTCATAAAGGACGTACTTTTCCTTTGTTTAAGGGTATTTGGGCAGTTTATTCTCTGTTATATTCTCAAGTAAACAATACGTACAAGTACAGTACAGTATTTTCTGAGGAAACACTCGTACTTATTTTTTTTAACCCCATTCTCGATAACCCGGCATTTTCACAAACTCGGCCACCCTTCGGTCCACATTAGGCCGAGTTTTCGAGGTTTTACTGTAGTAGCAAATATATGATAATTTTTAATATATGTTAAGTGAGTACAGTAATCCCCTACCTGTGCTTTTGTTTTCTATGAGTTTAGCTTACAGTCATTAAAAATCTGAAAATAGTAAAAGGAAACCTCCATAAATAAACAGTTTGCAAATTTTAAATTGTGCACTTCTCTGAATAGTATGATGAAATCTTGTGCCATCCTATCCTGCCCAGAATTTGAATTGTCATCTCTTTGTCTAACATATCCCTGATGTATGTGCTATTTGCTTGTTAAAAGAATTGTTCTTTAAAATTGGAATGGTAAATCTTATGACGTCTTGTCCATTCGGGTTTCTGGCTCCTTTTATCTACTGAGGTTTAGCTCTGACAAATGTAGAACACTAAGTAAAGATGGTGATTGTCTGAAATATATATTTTTAGAGCAACTTTGTCTTTAATTTGTGAAAAAATAATTATTCATCCGATGGAAATTCAAAAGTAAACAGTTGTCAATATTACATGAATAGCATAATATGTTACAAAAGTATAAACTTACCAGATTGTCCCTTAATAAATTTTACAAAATTATTGATAAACTGGAAAAAATTTAATTGGAAATTAGTGTTTTTGTTACTCAATTAAAATTATTAAAATGAAGTTTCAAAAATGATAAACAATGCTGTGTAAATTACATTTATCATTTTTGCACATTTTTTAGACTAGTTCATTAATACCTGCCCTCAAATTGAGGGTGATTGTGAGGGATATGGTAAACATTGTAATACCATTCTGGTAATTTAAAAATAAATTTGATTGATATTGGAGTTTTCTCAAATTTATAGTTTTTCTAACAATGTTTTAAAATGTGCTGATGTTATCAGTTGGCATTGATAGTAAGCAATATAAATTAACTGAATCACAAATTAAGGTAATTAAAAATGCAATGGTATAAACCATCAAGAGGGAGTTACTTCCCTTATAATTTTTTGAAGGAAATTTCTTATCTTAAGTGGGATTTGTGCAATTATTCCAAAACTTACCTCTTGATGATTTTTAAGTTAATTTCACTCCATGTATACATATATATATATCATATGTTACATATTGTGTGTGTGTGTGTAGATGTATGTAAGTTTACATCAAAAATATATAAACTTTTGACCATTTTAATGTTGAATCAGAAATCTAACAGCACAAATAATGTTGAAAGGACTTTTTGTCTCCCAGTACTGTTGGAGGATGGCATATTAGCAGAGGTTTCTATTCTTTTACCATTTGAGTATTCTGTTCAGTAACATTTCTTTGTGTTGTGGGGTGGTGCATTATCAGGAGGCTGTTTATCAAGATTTGGTAGTAATAAATCTGTACATTTTTATATTCAACGGTGAGAGAACAACATTTCTAAATGGACCGTTGAGTTCTCCATTGAGACTAGTGATGTCAGCGCTGTTTCACTGTTGAGCTCAACGACCTGAAAGACCATTGAGTATTCAACAAACTAACATGGCGGCTTCCATGAAAAAATAAATTTTGCTTATAGAAACTATCCATTTGCTGCTGTGGATGCTATAATAGCGGACAGATTAATGAACGATCTGTGTATGATAAAACATGTGATTGCATGATTATGTTGGATAATTGGTCAATATTGAAATATTAAGATTTTTTCATTTGTCTGAAATTGATTGACTGATATTTGGCCCTCTAAGTCTTCCTAATGGTATAAATATTCAAGAAATTAAATTAAAATTATTAAGGATAGACCCAATATACAAGAAAATGATAGAGATATGGGTTTATTTGAATAAAAGGATTTATTCAAATAATGGTTAAGAGAGTTACTTTGATTATTTAGCAAAACAGTCACAATTGCCACCTTCTCCTTACTTAAGTCAGCCATCTTGAAAAGCGACTTCTCAACGAAAGTGGGGTTTTTTTTTTTTTCCCTGCAAAACATGACGTCAGATCATTCAACAGAGGAAGTCAATGGAAAATTCACTGTTGAGTCAACCGTTGAATATAGAAACATATGGAATATATTTATAAACAGTTTTTATTGATATTTCAAATTATGATAGAGAGAAATTTTTTCATATTTTTCAAATAGTAAGATTGTTTAAATTTAATGTTTGTAAATTTAAATTTACAGACATTAAATAGTAAACTCTCACATAGTATCTAATCCTATATTTCAATTCATTAAATATAAATGAACATAACAGACAATTTAAAAACTTCTTTAGAAAAGTTTTTAAATTGCCCATTAAAGTAATTACATCGTTTATCTGACTTAATTACTTCAGTAATGATAAAGGCTATTAAATTTTTTTAAATTAAGGGAATGAAGTTTTGTTATTTCTATAAGAATATCATAATAATTGGATTGTTATAATAATAGAAGAATTTATACCAGAAAATTTTCAAACATTTTAAAATGAATGTTACTTTCATTGTTAATTTTTTAATGTGATTTTAAAATATTATATAATTGTACTTTATCAGTGCAATAAAGCTAAAAATTAAACAGTTGAAAATATATTTGTTTACATGAATTAAATTTTTTTCATAATATATAATTGACAAGACTATGTCTTGTTTATAAAATCATACTGCCTCATGTTCTTATCAGCATAGAGGTATGAAGGAGTACATGTAGAGTTGATATTTGGCACAGAGTATTAGGTGCCCAAATCATTTGCGCATAAAAAAGTCCAGACTTGTAGGTAGTCAGGGGACCGAGAATCAAATCAAAATAAAATCCAAAATGGCGACCCTCTTCTACAAACAGGCAAAACAGTCACCTCACCCCACTGAAGTCAGGTGGGGGAGAGTACCACTCACAGTCATTCTAAGAAATGAACTCTGATCTTAGGACTGATGGCGTCTGTGCATGACCTTTCACCTCACTTTGTTCCTAAACTCTAACGAGGAGAGAGATCTTTTTACTACCTTTCGATTCAACAGCTGTGCCGATCTTGGATTTATATTATATATCGATGCTGTTGTAAATATAACTCTGCCAATACAGATTAAGTAAATTATCAGTTTCTTAGTAAATTTTTACCGACAGAACATTCATCGAAAATGGCTCGTGGACAAGGCAGGCGAAGTTTTAACGATTGCACCCAAAAGCAGCAATATCAAAGAAGATAGAAGAATGAGAACGAGACCTGCCTTGAGCATCAAAGTGATTCCGTCTCAGAGACACAGTCTTGTCCCAAATATGGTTTTGCCGTTTTACTTGTTTTAATATTAATCTTCTAATGAAAAATAAGGCTTCCATTTTTCAAATTCAAATAAGAAAGTGATCTAACTCTGATCTTGTTATCTGTTTTAATATTAGATAAATTGTTAAATTTATTATTTCTCGTCTCTGTAGTATTTGTGGCATAGGTTAAAAACAGATCATATTTATTTGCTTCTCCCATACAATAAGAGTCCCACTAATTCGAACATGTTTCAGTTGGCTGAGAGAAAATTTTCTCTAACAAGAGCGCCACTTGGGGTGTTCCCCATTCTCTTTTCCAAGTTAACCATGTGAATAATTCTTCATCAAGCTTGTCAAGCATTGAGGGCATTGCTGTTTGTTGATTTTCAACTGATTTTTCTGAAGTAGAGGCACAAAACTGCTTGATCTTTGCAAGGGTTTTTTTTCCCCAGTCTGTTATTGTGGCCTTGCCCACTCCAAACTCTACTTCCAATTTTGTTGCACTTTCACCCTTGTCCAGCCTTTTCAAAACATCCAGCTTATCTTTCAACATACACATTGTGTGTTTTTGTTTCGTGGCCATTGTAGCAGCAGACTAAACTAAACTAAACTAAAATAATGTAGAGCAAAGAGTATATTCAACATCCACAATTAAGCATGCTAACTCACACAGTAGCATCAGTGAACTACTGTAATTGGAATCCTGGACTTTGAATTAAAAACAATATTTTTTACAGTTAAAATAATTTTAAGGCAAATAATGAAGACAGGTTGCCATTTTAAAATTACAAAACTTGTTTTTGTTAACTCTTTGTGTCCTCTATTGAGTACAAGTCAGAAGAAATAAAGGGTGGGGTGCTGACATCATTGATGGTGTTGGATCTATATAAATGAGACTTGTTTTACTGCTTGCTCTTGCATTATTTCAATTATTCGGCTAATCCAAAAATCTGCTATTCCAAATGGGCTCCGTTCCAATTAGTTTGGACTAGTGGGACTCTACTGTGTTTTAAACAATTTCATACTTTTACTATCTTTATCAATAGAAAAACCTGCAGTGCAATATTTGTTTTATTGAATTTTCTTTATCTTAATTAATAATTCTTGTAAATTTTGAAAATTTTCTTTATTTTTAATAATACAAATAAATTTAAGGATAATTACAATGAAATTTATCACATAATAACATGACATTTACCATATTATATAAGCTGTCTTTTGCAGTACAAGTAAATTCTATAGTATATAACCAGTTATTTCAATTCCACTGAATAAATAATTATTTTAGATGAAAAATTATCAAATTTTTTAAATGTAATTGAAGCATTGCATAATTATTTAATTATAGCATTGATTTTAATTGTATTTAAAACTTTATATGAATTAATAGAATGACAACATAAATTCTTACCTCAGAAATGAAATCTTTTGTAATAAAATCCTACTGAAGATATCTACAAATTTTTGAATAAAACTGAAATTTTTTATATAACGGTGTTTTATTTCATACTGTCATCAATTATTATTCATTCATGGACAGTTTTTTTTTTCTAATGCAGAGATTGAGATAAAATGTAAAAATTTCAGTTATTTATAGCTTTCAACCAAGTACATTGTAGGGCCATTAAGCCACTGTGATTGGGGTCCAAACTGCTTAACCGTGGCTTAGGTGGTCTACAGATTAACTTTGTAGCATTGTAAAGTGTTAATTGGTTACAATGGCAGCCTCCATAATGCTGACACTCAACATGGATAAACAGATTAATACTGTATTTGAATTTCATTGTAAGTTATTTTGTTGTTTATTGATAATACGAGGAGCTGGGGGCATAGAGTTCAAACATCGCTCTTGAAACTCTAGGTCTCTTAATCGGCACACAATTGTTTAGATTGGCTCGCAGCATCAAAGGATGGCTTCCTAAGACTTAAAATAAAGAACAGGGGCCGTATTCTGGTCATTGTTTCTGGTCTTTCGTCTCTCGCAAGCTGGTCGCTGGTTGGCTAATCCAAATGATCAGCCAATCAGCAACCGGCTTGTGAGAGAGGAGAGATCAGAGACAGTGACCAGAATACGGCCCCAGAAGTTTGTAAGAAACCCCTGGAAGTTGTTTTTCTTGACACCAGCCTAGATATAGTGTTAGGCAAGCTCTTAATCTTTTTAAAGGAATTTCAAGTGGGAGGGTTGCAAGTGGCGTGGACGTAGGCTCGGATTTTATATGAGTCCATATTAAGAGATAACAAAAGTGTTTAATAAAACAAATCAAATAAACAAAAAAAAAAAAGATTACAAAATGAGGAAGCTCCTAACTTGCGAGAGAGAGAGTTTACATGGATTCTAACATCATACTACCTCATCAAATATCGTAAAGTATTCGCAATTGTAGTCTACTATTGGATAACGTGGATTGGGAAAATAAATCTATCATTTCTGTCGTCTGTATGGCATCTTTAAATATTATGAGAGATGGTCCTTAGTTATATATAGTGATCTTATTACGGAGATCGACGCTTATGTGGCCAGTTCGGTTGGCAGGTTCTGTTTTGGACGAACTGCACAAGTTACATATGGCATGTTCTTTATCATCAGGGAACTGCGCAAAAAGGCGAAAAATCTATCCCTTTTTTATAGGTATGGCTGACTCATCTGCACAAGACAGTGAGTAGCTCTAGTTGGTCCAGAAAGGAAGTTTGTTTCCTCCCATTCTCGAAAATGAAAAATGTACATCCTTTTTGTTAAATTTTTATCAAGAAATAAAATATTTTGTTATAATATTTTAGTAATAAATCTAATTAACCCATGGATCTCACAATAAATAAAAAACTAATCTTGTATAAATACCTGTTTGAAGTTATAAGCCTTATAAGCCAGCATTTAATTTGTGATAGTGCATAGCATGTCAATCACGGACATTCGAAATGCCAAAATGACAGCTGTCAACACTGTCTCGAGTGTTTGAGAGGCCATAGTGTCAAAAAATTGGGATCTAAGCTTTTGTGTGGCTTAAGTGAATTTGTGGATTACTGGCACATGGCTTAATGGCCCTACACTGTATTATGTATCCACATGCAATGGTAAGTTAAAACAACAAATTAAATAATGTATAACATTTTAATCGTTTTATATTTATTTAATAATTATTATTTGTGTGTAAAAAGGTTTTTCATTAAAAATACTGACATTTTTCAAATTATTATTATTATTTATTTTTCAGGTGCATTTTATTTAGTGTTCGAATATATGGATCATGATTTAATGGGGCTTCTGGAGTCAGGATTGGTAGACTTTACAAAAGAACATATTGCATCATTTATGAAACAGTTACTAGATGGTTTAAATTATTGTCATCAAAAGAATTTTCTTCATCGTGATATTAAATGTTCCAATATACTTATGAATAATAGGTAAGAACAAGAAACTGTACAATGCAAAAAAAAAAATTATTATTTATGTAAGAAACACCTGATAATAATAATGTAAAATAAATGGAATTGTTTGTTTTAATTCTGACAAATATCTATTAAATAACTTTTCTATTAGGGGTCAGATTAAGTTGGCTGATTTTGGTTTGGCCCGGTTATATAGTGCTGATGATAAAATGAGACCATATACAAATAAAGTTATTACACTATGGTATCGTCCACCTGAATTACTTTTAGGTGAGGAGAGGTATGGACCAGCCATAGATGTCTGGAGTTGTGGGTAATTAAAATTTTACATATATGAAAAAAAATAAATATATATCAAAATTATGGTAAATTATAGATAATTGTTTTTTTTCCAGGTGCATTCTTGGCGAATTATTCACAAAGAAACCAATATTCCAGGCAAACCAAGAAATGGCCCAGCTGGAAAGGATTAGTTATATTTGTGGTACTCCGTGTCCTGCTGTATGGCCTAAAGTAATACATTTACCACATTGGCATACTTTCAAACCTAAAAAGCCATACAGAAGAAAGATAAGAGATGAATTCTCTTTGTAAGTAATTCACTCAATTGGATTTGTTAGATTGTTATAAATGTTTAAATAGTAAATGATGACAAGTTTAATTTTATAGAATTCACTCTTTTACACATGAAGCATCTTAGATTGAATTTTAAAAAATAATTTATTTGTATATTCAATGCTTTCAAGAGATTATAGAAAATATATAATTTAATTTTTTTAACATTTACAGTTTTAACATTTGAAAAAATGAACAACTTAATTAATTTAAAAGAGAAACTTATAAAGAAATTTTGATTCTTAAAGGCTAAATTTAAAGAGGGAAACAGTTTTAGCTGTATTCCTCATATTTATTATATGTACAGGTAATCCCCTTATAACACAGGAGTTACATTCCAAAAAAATTGCCAAGTTATACGAAACAAAGAACTAGTGCGAAAAGGGGGGTTAGGTTCCAAAAATTAAAAAACAAGCTGTTAAATTCTTATTTAAATCAGATTTATTCATTCTTTTTCATAGGTAAAATACTTATTTATTTAATTAAATATTTTACCAGAGGATTATTCATTTTATATGATGATCTCAGCATGAGCATCATCAACTGGTAACAGTTTTTGGGTGCATTTGTTAATAGCAGTCGCTCCACAACAAGAGTGCGCTGCTGTTTGTAGGCATTTAGGAACGACGGTGAAAGAAAGATGGCAGTGCCCACACTATCGATAGGATCGTGATGGAGGAATCTGTCATTCTAAAGTGAGCTTTTAGAGGCAAAAGAAGGGTTCTAATTGTAAAATTTAACCATTAACTGGATTATTTGTTCAAAGAGCATTCAAAGTAGCCATGAAAACAATTAGAATGCTCACACGGAGTTATGCGGAGGTATAAAAGAACGCACCCTTTTATTACATTTTATGTTGTACGAGGGTTTTACCTAATTCCCGAACCGTGTTAGAGTGCTATAGAAGTGCCGTGTTATACAGGGGTTACGTGTAATTGTAATTTGAATGCTATAATGGTGATAAATTAATCTCTTGGAAGTAGTCAATGTTAAAATAAATTACTTCTTAAAATTAAGTTTGAGAGGTTTTGTCTTATTATTTCATTGTGTTTAAAAAGAAATTTAATATGCAATTTCACTGTGTAGACTTTTAGAAAAATATATTTTAGATTTTACTTGCTTATAAATATGGACATTTATATATCATATAACTTTGGAATTTTATAGTTAAAAAAAGTTATAAAAATGATTGTAGTTTCAGTTATCTAAATTTATTTGTTAATATGATTTCTTCCTGGAATGAATATGGGTACTTTATTTATATAATTATCACCAGAAATTTCAAAAGTGAAAAATTATACTTATAATGCTGTTTGGCACATTTTCATTATTTTCAAAATAGTAAATTATATTTTTTACAAAAGTTATTCTGAAAATCAGAATAATTTGTATTGGCAGTAGCATAATATTAATACAGTAGAGTGCCGATTATTCAAATGTCGGTTATCCAAAAGCGTTCCAGTCAGACTGTGTCGTGCTGAATCAAATGTTTTTGATACTAGATTAACTTTTAAAGTATAATTATTTTTGTTTTTATATTTTTCAATATATTTATTTTGTTTGTACAAAATAAAGAAATAATTTTTAACGATACAATAGCCACAATTATTATTATAAAAATTTTCATTGGGCTTAACATCGACAAAAATTCAACGTGAAGCGACATGCAATGGAGAAAAATTTAAACATGGGATATATTAATATACTATTATTGGGATATCCTAATATACTATATTAATAATGTAATTTTTTGTACATAATCGGTTATCCAAAAAATCAATTTTTCGAACAACCCCAGTCCCCAATTGATTTGGATAATCGATGCTCTACTGTAATGTTATGAAAAAGAAGGAAAATTTTAAGATTGAATTAATAAAAGAGAAATTTGAAATATTTTCTTATTTCAAATTTGAAAAGGAAGAAACAAAACATTAAAGTTTTCATTGTTAATATAAAGTGATTGTAATATTAATTACCCTTCAGTTGTTATAAAATTTTAAGCTATCTTTTAAGGATGTTAGTAATTTTAAATCATTTCTTAATGATTTAAGATCACTTATATGCTTAAATTAACCCCTCAGGAGTCATGCAGAGTCTCAGGACCCACACTATATATTTTTCAACTTTTCTTATATTTAAAATTTCATAAAAAATTGAAAAAATTTTTTCAATACTATCTTTTCAACCCAGATGACATGCATTTATCATTCTTTCACTATACAAACACTTTCTGAGAAATAAAATGCTAGGATCTCAGTGAGACTCCGCACAATTACTAACATAGGCAATATTCTACATAAAAACATTGCTAAAGTACTTCAATATATGCACATACTGATTTGAAGTTGTATATGACTGAAGGGTCAACACCACATCAGGACTGACACCACTGTGTCCGAAGGGACACAGAAATAGCAATAACTGTTATGTTTCGTTTTACACTCGAGCAGTCATGCCTGTAGGCAGTCAGATTCGGGGTGGAAGAGACCATGAATGAGACAGTATGCATCCAAAAGAAGTGCTACAGAGTAAACGTAACAAATACCCATTTATTTACACATTATCTTTACACAAAATTACACATAAGATTAGTAATCTTTAAGCACAAGAGAGAGTGTTTACACTTGTGCATGCGATGATAAATACTTGTAGTTGTTGGGTTTCCTTTGAAGTCATGCACTTGATTGGCTTATAATAGGTTGTAATATTTGATACTCCTGATTGGTAGGTTCTTTGAGGAGTTTGCACACTTGCAAGGGTTATTTATCCCATAGGAGATGCTATTGTCCTTGGTGTGTAGAATTCTAGTCACTGGCTATCAGTGGCAAAGACAGTGTATTGGTGGTGATGCTTATCCACAGTGAGGCAAACATTCTCGATGACAGATGAACGAACCCATGTCATCAATCCCTTTTTCTTTCATTTGGGGATCCTTCTCACTATTTCAATGCCCTTTTTAGGCAATGTCGACTAGTTAGATCAATATTTTTTTTTGTGTTATGTTCCCAATATAGTCTGTCAAGAGATGTCATCTCTGCACAAGGAAACAAGTCTGTGGGAAAATAGGATCACTTACTGCTATCGTGAGAGAAAAATTTTTTGTAAAATTATTTAAGCAATTTTTTTTATTTAGCCTGTGTTCTCACATGTATGTTAGTATGCTATGTAAAAAATACTGTACATAATATAAATGAATAACATAAATTATATACATGTGAGAATTTTATTTAATGCTTTTAATTATAATTTGAAATAGGTGTATATATAAATATTTTTGTGATATTAGTGAGTATGAATGCAAAGTAAAGCTATTGATTAAACAACAAAGCACACAAATTCCATTGAATTTAACTATGTTGGTTTGTTGAGTACAAGAAAGGTAGAGCAATATAAGACAAGCTTTTAAAAATTATTGCAAAGATACAAGCCATTCAAAATGTAAAATATTGATTTAATATATAAATTTATCAACAATATATCAGAGCAAGTTCATTTAATGTATAAAATTTGCATAATTTTTAATTAAATAGCATTTTCAATTTGATCATGTGATCTCCTGTCAAGAATTTATTAGTCCTAACAGTGATTCTTTAAAATTTTTACTTACTTTTATATAAAACATTGTAAAGATTTTGTTGTTTTCTTTTGTTGAAGGAATGTTGCTTGTTTAAATAACATTTACAAAAATAATTGTTTATAAGTAAAGAACAAAAACTTTACAGATGAGAGATCATATTTTCTTTTTTGTTTATTTTTGGAGGATTGTAATATCTCTTTTCCCCCCCCCTTACAGCAATAGATATTTTTCTATTATTCTTCTCTGATTTTCAAACAAAATACTAACTTCATTCTACTAACAAATTGAAGTTAGTGTAATCAATCTCTTTAGATGGCTATTAAAATTTGAGTGTATATTTTAATATTTGGGATCAAATTACATAAAAGTAATTTTTAAAATGTATTATTACCTAACTAAAAATGTTTTACATAGCTAGAAACTAGACAAATGTTGGAAAAAGTATTTTGAGGCAATGTTTACACAATTTCAAATTAAAAAATGGACCTAATGGATCTTCTGCAACTAATAGATTTAGTAGAAATTGCATAACTTCTGAGAGTTTAAATAAAATGATTAACTGAAAACTATTAGCCAATTAACTTTTAGTAAGGTATTAGTTTAAGTTTTTTTCAGTAGTTTCCCATTTTATTTTGTTTACTTTGCATCAAATTTCAATATATAATTGTTCTCATTTCTTCAAAATGAAAATTAAAAATTCTCATTTTTTATGTAAGAATTTTAATGAATTTTTGATTATTTATTAGAATTATATAAAATTAATTTATTTTTAAATTAAGAATTGTGTATGGCATTTATATTGTTTGAAAATTTTTTATGGTTAACATTTTTTTTTATTACAGTAGAGCGTTGTTCATCCAAATCAATTGGGGACTGGGGTTGTTCGTATAACCGATTATGTACGAAAATATATATTAATCTATCCTATGTTGAAATTTTTCTGCATTGCGTGTCACTTTGTGTTGAATTTTCATTGATGTTAAACCTAATGTAAACTTTTTAAAATAATAATCATGGCTATTGTATTATTAAAAATTATTTCTTTATTTTTTACGAACAAAATAAATATATTGAAAAATATAAAAACAAAAAAATTATACTTCAGAAGTTAATCTAATATCAAAAACGTTCAATTCAGCATGATACACAGAAAAACACCACATAAAAGTGCCAGTGCTGCCGGCTAAAACACACACATCAATAAAAAAAAAATATCGGAGTAGCCCAAGATAAAGCCAAAGATTGCAGCACCACAGCATTAGCGAAAATTTAAATTTGCCGACTGGAATTCTTTCGGATAAATGGCGCTCTACTGTATTATTATATAAGTGAAAACATTTTATGATCATAAAAATCTTTTGTGTGTTTAGATACTGTTATGAGATATCAAATTATAAGATCAAATTTCAGTTTTTTAATCAGATTTGAATTATTTTTTCATGTATGAAAAATAATGAGTATTTGTTGCTTTTTTTACTACATAAATTTAAAGTTGATAATGTATAATATGAATATATAAATTATCAGAATTTTAATCCAGCATTCAGAGATTTATTATTATAATAAAAGTTAATAAAGAAATTATTTCTATATATTATTTTTTGAGTCTTATTGTAGACTTAATGTTAATACATGAAATTATTATCTACTGAAATGTTTTTTATGTTATGTATATCAGTGTATATTAATCAATGCAATAATTATTTTAGAATGCCACCACCTGCCTTAGATTTATTAGACCAAATGTTAGAATTGGATCCAGAAAAAAGAATTACTGCTGAGAGTGCCTTGAAATGTCCTTGGTTAAAAGATATTCATCCAGAATGTATGGAACCTCCAGAGTATGTATAATTTAGCTTTTAATACAATTTCATAAAGAATTGAATAGATTTTATAACTAATTTTTTTATTTGTAAAATCAAAAATTATAAATTTGTAAAATGGTTTAATGAAAAGAACTTTTCATTAAACCATTTTACAAATTCTTTAAAATATGTTCATTTATTTTAAACTAATGTAATAGTATATAAAAAACATAAATATTTTAAGTTTCATACTATTTTTTTAAAATATTATTTTAGAAAAATCTGTTTTGATATAAATAACACTTTAGTAAATAAACTTTTTAACTCAAAAACAAGCAGTTTGAAGCATATTAGTTTTAGATCCTCCTGCTCTGAAGCTGGATGTATGGATAAAGCATACATTTATCCATACATTCATTTAACTCCTATAATCTTTCAAATGCTTTTGTTTTTAGTCAGTCAATAGAAAAGATCTAATAGAAAACAAAAATGAATTTAATTAATACTAAGTATATTCTTTAATCAGATTTGAAATATATTTTCTAATCAATTAAAACAGCAAATATTTTTTATAAAAAATTTTTTCAGCAATACTAAGTAAGAATATCATTATTAAAATTACTTATTTACTAATACACATAATAATATATTCTATAAAATATTTAAATTGGAATAGATATATAAACACTAATTCTATGATTTTTATTGACTCTACAGTGAATTTTAAGTAATACTAATCTTTTTAAGAGTTAAATTTTATTTTAAAAAGTTTTAAGAATTAAGTATTTGTCATGAACTAAGAATTACTTGACAGATATTAAAGATATCCAAACAAAACTTACGTTATGAAAAATCTTTCTTTATTTTAGTACAGAGAAATTAATATTTTTATTACTTCTAACATATTCAAATTTTGCATTATAAAAAATATACTGTATATCTAAGCAGATAAGTTGAGGTAAATTCTTGTCGAAGTTTTATAGTTTTAGCATGTATCTGTGCTATAAGACAACCCCCAAACGATCAACAGCCTATGAATTTAGTTTAGGTCATTGATCATCATCTGAATAATAATACTGTATAGCATATACAGAATTATGTCTTATTTGTAATTTTTCAAGTGAACAAATTTTATTTTCTTGCATCTGGCAGCACTACCTTGCGATTGTTGCAAACATTGGCATTGATTCGGCATTCAGGTAATGACTTTGACTATTCACAAAAACATTGTATGTGTTATTCTATTTTGTGCACATACCCTACTCTCTTCTAGTAAATAATTACGGTTTTTTTGTATCTGTTCTATAAGATGACCCCGAATTTTGGGTGCCTTTTTTATGATTCAACTATCGTCTTATCTGTCAAGATATACGGTATATATTTATCTTGTTTAAATTTAAACTCGTATGTATTTTGTTATATTTTTATCTAAATAATTTTCCCACTCTTCAAAGCTTATTATAAGACATATTGAATAGATTTCATGTTAAGTATTTCTTTTAGAATTATATTTTTGTTTAGGTAATTTAAATCATTATAAATATTGCTAACCATTGCAATTTAAACCAAGAAACAAATGACACAATCTAATTTCAATTAATTTTAACTTATTAATGTGCATAATTATCATAACTTAATTATTAAATATAATTATAATTATACAACAATTACAGATTTGACAATTATGGAATTGAATTTTTCTTTCTTAGAATAGTTTAAAGTTTGGAATTCTGTTTTTAGATTATTTTAAAATCAAAATTTCAAATATATAACTATTTAATAAGTTTTCATAACCTATTGTATCAAAGCAGTCAAAATGTATAATTTTAATGAATTTATTACATAGAAGTTTCCTAAAAGTGATGTATTTTAAATTTTTATAACATTAATTTTATTATAATACATAATAAATATTAATTAGACATTGTCTCAATTTTAGTTTGCCACATTGGCAAGATTGTCATGAAATGTGGTCAAAGAGAAGACGACGACAAATGAGGTTGGAGCAAGAAGCTATAGCTGCTGGAATAAATCCAAATATGATGGCAAATCAACCATCTGACATGTCTTCTGGGCCCATAAGTAATAATCTTTCACAACCAAATCAGCCAGTGAATCGACGTAATCGTGGACCTGCAAGTGAAAGTTGGTCTGGAGGAACCGATAGTACAGTAGAAAATGAAAAAGTATCAAACTATGGTGATGTCAGAGGTAAAAGACAAATTTAAGATTTTTTAAGTTAAGAAATGTCACCAGAACATACTAATTTGTATTATATTTTGATTAAATTATTTATATTTAAAACAATGTTTTGATGTTTTTTGCATTTACAGTAAGATGTAATGAATAAATAAATCAGTTACATTAAAACTGTCATCATTAATATTTGGGAATAAAAATAAATTTTTTTCTTTATATTCTGTTTTAACACAAAAAAACGTTTTATCATTTTTAAATTCACAAATTTGTTGATTTTTATACTGTAATTTTAAAAATTTATTATTAATTGTCATGAATTTATTTTTTCATGAATTTACATTTGAAAAACTCAGATTTACAGCTAGATAGGTGAATTTGAAATAGTCTTTTATTTGAATCTAATTTTGGCTTTTTTGTTTTTATAATACTTACCTCATAACATGATAAAAGTTCAAATTAAAATTTAATCTTTATAAATAATAGGAAATATCTTTTGTTAAGTTAAATAACTTAAAATTTTGATGATAGATAACGTTAGAAATTAGTCATTAATAGTGGCTTGTATATGAATAATTTAACTGCATTTGATCTCATAGTATACAATGATTGGTTCTAATGTCAAGACATAATAGTTGAAATCTGTTTTAGATTTTTCTGATATGTTAAGGCTCATTAAGGTATAATACTTTAATTATATTATGACAATAAATTTTATTTTGACTGAACCCCTCTTATAATCAAAAATCCAGCAGTGATGTGTAACTTTCCCAGTGAAAAAACAAACACAAAATTGAAATTGTTTGTGGTGCCATCTGATGAGATTTTGTTTTTAAAAGAAATAACTTTTATATTATTAATTAATATAAAATTGGAAAAAGTTTAATTTTGAGGGTAGAGATGAGTTTTATTTTATTTTTTTTTTAAATTAAATGCTAGTAACAAGTAAAGTCATCATTAGATCCCACTCCACTGGAGATGTGACATTTAACACCTCTACTTTTTTCCTTGACCTTTCACCACTTTAAATGAAATAGACACCAACACACGTCCATGGAATTATTATAATTATAATTATTATTATTATTATTATTGTCAGGTATCTGAAAGTATGGGGATTTGCAGAAAATGTTGTCTGTACATAACAGCCAGAAAGTCTGACTACTTTCTGAATGCATTGGTGCATTTTGTAATAAAATCAATATAATTAATTGCATATTAAAAAGTTAATTTTGGAACACTTAATAATGACTGTATATCATTTTATTACTTGTTATCCATATCAATAATGTGAATAATTGTAGAAATATGAAAAATATGAATTGTAATTATAAAATTATGAAATATTGCAATTTTGTTGATTTCATTTTTGGATTAATTGATTTTTTTTATGTAATTAATTGAACTATAAAAACTGATGATAATTTTTTTCATAACAGTATTTGTCAGAAATAATGTAAGTCAGTGGTTCTCAACCGGGGGTACATGTACCCCTAGGGATACGAGTGTAAATCGAAGGGGTACATCTAACTTTCATTATAAAATGGCACATGTTAATGAATTTGCTGTAAATTATTAACACAAGAAAAAACAAAAACTTGCTTTAAAATATCCCAGTACGAACACCGATTTCCCTTTTAACAGTCCAAACAACTTGTTTATCCACTTGATTTACCTGTCTGTTTGTGCCGTTAGTGCCTAGTGAACCTGTAGTCTAGTAAAATTTCGATTTAACCGAGCATTAATTTTAGAATAGATGAAAGCACTGATGTCAGCAGATTGACAGTACTTTTAGTTTTTGTGAAAAATCAGTACAATGATGAGCTTTGTGAAGATTTATTAATGTGCGATGACCTATGGTTTTGATATTTTCAATAAAATCGATGATTTCATTCGAAGTAATGAAATAGATTGGAAAAAGTGCATCGACATCTGCACTGATGGAGCTAAAGCTATGCAAGGTCCAATTTGAAAGGTCTAAAGAAAACTTTTACCATTTTAACAATGTATTTGTGACAAAAACTAAAAGAAAAAAAAGAAAAGAAACAGGCTTGACGCATCAGCAGACATTTGTTGTCAGTTAACAAAGTGGGAACCAAATTTTGGAAAAAAATTGCTGAAGATTTATCACAACAAATATCCCATTAAACTGTTAGAAATTATTGTAGAATAATTTAAATTTTGTATATCGTTAATTATAATTATTTATTTTTAGGAAATTTAATTTATGCGTGTATTGAAATGACTTCTGTGATTTTATATAATATACTTATCAAATAATAATAAATAAATGTATGTACAGTACCTGTTTAAATTGATTATTAATTACATAAAATAAGTAATCCACTTTTAATTATAGTTAGTTAGTGAGAGTTTTTTATGGCCCTCAGTTATAAGGGCTGTATACATCTAATGCAGTAATTATAAAATTAACATACAAAAATATAAGGGGTACTTGAGAAACAACTAATGGGCTAATGGGGTACATCAACAAAAAAGGTTGAGAACCACTGATGTAAGTAAAATATAATCAACAAGAAGAATCTACATGCTACAGAATCTAGAAGTAATACTCTCAATACAGTGTTGAAGTTGTTCTACTTTTTACTTACCATATAAGTATGCCAAAAATCTGCCAGTTAAACAAGACATAGAGGTTGTTATGTTAGACAGTATGGATACTAAGTACTGTACATGGTTTACAAAGACAATGTATGTGCATTCAACAATGAATTGTTTTAGAAGAAATAAGAAACAATTTTTTTTTTAATATTCTGTGAATATAATAATAATCATTACAAGTCATCCAGTTGAAGGGAGAGTTTTATACCAGCATATCTTTTCTATTTGTGTGTGAACAATAGGATGTCAAATGTACACAGCATTAACATTCTTACTCCAACATATTTGCATTGCATTTTACACTTTTGAGGTAAGCCTTTAGCCAAGCTTCTGTCATTAACAATGGAAGCAAGTTCTTTCTAAATTAGGTATGGGTGGCTACACATACACGGGAAAAAGTGATGAAACTTTCTGAAATTTTCTTATTAAAATTTGATAAACTTTTTTAATAACAGACATCTTAGACCAGTGATTCCCAATTTTTTTAATATCATGATGTAAAATAAAAATATAAAAAATGTTGGCAGAAACTTAAAGAAATAAATATCTACATAAGATGATACAACTTTTATTTTGTAAGTAATTCTTAAAATTAGCAATAAGAAAGATATTTGAAGAACTTGATATAGTTTTATTTTCACACTGTAACATAACAAAATTTACATTATGGTGAATAAAAATAAATTTGGTTGTAAAATAAAAATCTCATAAAATGTTATTCTGCCTGCAAATTGGAAGCAATCACTAATTTGAGGGTTTGTCTAAAAATTGTTCTTGTATGCAATCAAGTTGCATGGTTGCACTGAATGCCTGTCAAAAAATTATTCATGGACACAAGTTCTTTTGGAATCACGATTGACACACTGGAAAAGCTCAAACAAAAAGACCATGTAGTATATGCATGACCTAAACAAACTGATAGATTCCATCAGTTACACAAATTTTATTGTATCAGATAGAAATATAAATTTATTTTAAAAGTCAATTAAAAAAAAAATTAATTAACAGATGTTCAAAACTTTAAGAACTTTACAATAAAGTAGATTTTTTTATATTTATATATTTAATTTTTTTAATATAGTTAAATTTATAAAATTAATCTATTCTACATACAAAAAATACATAGCTTAAAATCATCACAATATGTTTTTTTGTCACAAAAGAAAAAAAAATAGAAATGGTAATCTGGCTTCAGAATTGTCATGAAATTTTTTAACAAGTGGGCAATGCCTTTGGTTAAGATTTTAATAATTGGTTTCAGGTAAAAATTTTAAAACATCAGAACTTACTTTAGAATAAAATTAAAAACTTTAACTAATGTTGTCATATCAGAAGTGTGAGGGGATGGATGAGGCATTGCTCTTTGTTTTTTTCAATCATGACATATCATCCTGCACTATTGATGGTCCTCTTGTCTGGTTGGAATCTTATTATGATGAAAATACTATAAAATAGATAAATATTAGTACTTGTGGCAAAATGGCAATTAAAATCAAATATAAATTTTATACAAATTTTGTGTGAACTGTCAAAGGTTTTCAATTTATATATAATTCACTTTTTTTTTCAAAATATAAAAAGAGTATTTAAAAAATATACATATTTCATGAGTTATTTTTCGGAAATAATAATTTATCAATGTATTATTATTAATATTATAAACACTAAACTATTCTAAAATATGAAAGTAGATATTGATATAAAATAATTTTTCCTTATTTGCATGTAATGATATTAATTACATGATATTCCCAAGAACCAACAACAGGAAAGGAGGAATTGAAAAAATCCACTGGTCAAGATGTAAATACTGAAGGTTGTAGTCAATCATCACAAATTCAGTTTGATGATAATCTTAAGGCTGTTATAAATACTTTCCAAAAGCAACAAGGTCTAAATATTGGACAACTTGCTAGTCTTCTTAATGTAAAGGTAGGATATTGCAATCTTTATCAATTAATAAATTATTATTATTGTCATGAAAATATTTATTTGCTTATTTCATCTAAGCACACTTATTATACATTGATAAAACTAGTTCATTTTAACTGTTCTACATGCACTTTTGCTGTTACATTATGAGATTTACAAACTTTTTGAATAGGTGATTTTCCTGAATTAGTTGTTTTTAAATTGAGTAATACTTTCACATTTATAACCATTTAAAAAATTAAAAATTAATTAAGATTTCAATTATTACAAATACATAGTGTTTTGTTTGCAAATGAATATTAATATATTATGAAATAGAGAAATGTTTTAAATTGTTTATTAATTCAAGGAATTATAAAATTGGAGTCTTCAAAATGTCTCCTACATCAGTAAATTTTCTTATATGAAGTTATTTATTAAATTAATCATTATTAATTTGATATTTTGAATTTCTGAATTTTGTAATTCAAATATAAAAATAATTAGTTTTCTTTGTTTTAAATGCAATTTCTTAATAATATTTGTTATTCTTGATTACTTTTTAATAATAAAAGTAAATTATCAACAAGTACTAATGTCAGATAGGCAGATTTTTTTTATCCAAAAATTTTCTATTATTTTCAACATTATAATAAGCGCTTAAAATTAATTATAATTTAAGGTCCGTATTGTCATAAAAGTATTTCTTTCCATTGCTTTTCACTTTTTACTATGTGCAAGCTTTTATCTAAATAAAAATAAATAAATTTTTTTAATAATTTGGAATCTAGCAACATTGGTTGTGCCATCTGTTTACAACATTTTACTTTTAACTATTATAAAATGCAAAAACTTAATTTTGAGGATACTTTTATTAAAAAAAAATTGTAAATGCTGATAATGAGTAAAAACATCATTAAGTCATATCCTATTCATGATATGATACAACCCTCTTTATCTCCCCATTTCCTTGACCTTTAACCATCAAAATTTAATAGCATTAATCCCCTAATACACATACATACAAGAAAGACTTCAGCTGTATATGAGATGTTTAGCTGGCAGAAAAGAGGGTAAGGGAATGGGGAGGGGAAGAAGGAAGGAGAGGAAATAGATAGTAGAGAAAGGTAAGATCCCTCTGAACGGTGTATTGATACATATGGCTACAGTACCTTCTGTTGCAAGGCTGTAGTCTCTGAAGGGTCTAAAAGAAAATCTGAGTGTAACGAACATCAGTGATTCAGTGTTGCTATGAATAGCTAATTGTAGAAGTTAGTGCCAAGTGGCTGTTAGTAGGAAGACTTATAACTACTTAATATTATTGAAACTGAACTGAACGTGAATGCAAATCTTAATACTACTTAACAGCTAGACAGAGAGAGCAAAAAACAAACAAGCAAGACTTGGGGTCTTGCTTGTTTCTTTCTTTTTTTTTTTTAACATTAACTTACTAAACTAACCTACCTTAACCTAGAACAAATCTAATCAGATGACTAAAGCTTACAATCCTTAATCTGTTTTAACCTAACTTAACCAGAAATCAAGCTAAGAGTCCCTAATCTAACTTGCAACTAGGACCAACTTAAACTAACTGAATTTAGACTGAAAAAGAAGACAGAAAATAAGAATTAAATACAAAGTTGAAAGGCAGCTATATACTGACAGTTGAAACAAAGCAAGACCCCTAATACACAAACCTCCCTATGAAATTTCAAAAAATTTCAACAAAAAGCACAGGAGTTATTAAAAAAAAGTTTCAAAGAGGGTGAACAAAATTGTATACAAACACACACACACATACACACAAACCCCTTTATTTTTTGCATCTCTCAATGTTTCAAGATTGCAAGTCCAAAAGTGTAAAAATCTATGGGGGTCATTTTTTTGATTGATTGCCATACTTTCCCACTGTTATATATAACAGTCTGGAAAGTAATAACAAAACTAATTTTGCCATAGGTTTATAAACAAGATATAATTTGGTTAATATCATTCTAATTGGATTGTGTTTGAAATTTCCAGCATTTATTTCTATGTCAAAGAATCAGTTTTAACTGTTTATAAAGAAAATTCAACAATGATAATTGTAAATGATTACAAACATTTGTGTAACTTTTCCCAACAAAATAATGAAATGATAAATAATTTAAAATATTTATAATCCATAATCTAAACCCGTGATTAATATCTTTTTATATTATTCAGAGATGAACCACAAATGGCAGCATTTTCCACACTAATGCTCTTTGCTCCCACATTTTCTGCCAGCAACCCTGCCATTCCACACAAGTTTAAAAGTAAACAGCATAAAATGTCACAAACAGGGTGCGTTTACTTCTGAGTTAGCAGTGCTAATTCTGATAACAGGATATGACGTCATTAGCACGTGTATTCGTGCTTGCTTGTCCAATTCGAAAGTGAACACATACGCTAACAAGAAATATGGCTGGAAACCGCCATATTTCTTGTTAGCATATGTGTTCACTTTCGAATTGGACAAGCAAGCACGAATACACGTGCTAATGACGTCATATCCTGTTATCAGAATTAGCACTGCTAACTCAGAAGTAAACGCACCCACAGTTGACCACTGAATGAAACAGAAAACAGGTACAATAGGCTCAAATACTAAGCAGCTTAAACAACTACAGGGTATAGAAGAGTGAAATTGATAATATTGTTTGAAAGTTTATTTTATCATCATTTTTGCAAGTTTTAAAAAATTAAGTGGTTCTTGGCCAACTAAAATGAAAATACTGTTTGTATATGTGTGTATATGTTTTTTAAATTACATTTCTTCAGTATTTCTATTCAATTTTATAACATTATAGAATTGAAATTTTTAAGATTTGTCAGCCATAACTTTTTACATAATTTAATAAGTTGGGCCTTTTATTTATGCTACTTGTATACTTAAAATACCTGTGAAGCATTACAAGGAGAACTAGAATAGTAGGTTTACTAAGTACATTATAATAGAGAGGTTGCAGCCGTCGTTCAAACGTTAAACTTGTATGGCAAGCAGATTCACACGTTTAAAGTATTTACAGGATGTTTAATAACACTAAATAATTATTATTAATTTGTGTCGTATCTCCTACTGTATAATAGGACTATAGGACTACCTCATACTTTTGTTGGGGGACTTAATGGCTTATGTAAATCTGAAAGTAGCTTGGGAAATTATTTTTAGAAAATTTACAGATGTATTATGCTGTTGATGGAGAAGATGCCGTGAAAGAACAATCCTACTCCTACAGAATTATGATAAGCTATTATGAAGACAAATATATGTAAATTCTATAAGCACTTCACATCACTTGCTAAAAATTGAATAATTAAATATAAATAATTTTGAGATTTAAATTGTCTGTTTCTCTACAATATTATTCATAAATGCTTAAATAATCATTATTTTAATAAAATACATCATAATTTTAACCCCAAACACAAAAAAATGAAGAAGTTTAAGCCTATCTTCTATGCACCATGTTAGACAAAGCGAACGCCATTATCAACTTTCTAAAATTGCCAGATGGTGATGCTTGGACATCCAACGTTCACATTTTGGGCTGAAAACGACAGCCACAATCTCTCTATTATCAAATTACATTTATGTATAATTTATTAAGAAATTATCTGTAGTTGATTTCCATAGTTATAAAAAATTGTTTGTATTTTCAGGTTGATTCAAATACAACACAGTTGTTAGAAACATTAAATATACGCTGGCTGTTAGAAGCAGCAACTAAACAACCTCAGGAAATGACTCAGAGAGGAAATCAGAGGTTAGGTTTTGAATCATCACAGTCTTCAAGTAGTCTGGGAGATCAGTCAACAAGTGGAAAACAAGATAAATTAGGATGTAAAGATATTTGTGATGAAAAAAAAGATGGAATAGCACCATCACATTCAGGTAACGCAGATAGATAACACGAAAAAATAGAATAAAAAGTAAGATATTTTTAAAATATCGTTATCGTACAGAATTTATAGTTTCTATAATACTGTCATGAAATTTTGAAATTAATTCCACCAGTGATCTTCAAACTTTCTTCATCCTTGAAATAATTCTCATTGAATATTATTTACAGATAGTAGTTAAAATTAAGTACAAAATGTTAAATATGTGTAACTTCTTAAAATTATAATTTTTTTTCCCCTATGTAAACATTAAAGCCTAATGCAATATAAATAAAAAATCTTTATGAAAATAAATTCCTCGTGTATTAAATGATCTCGCAAAATTTAAAACACGTTACTCTGAAGTATAGTTTGAATATCATTACATTAATAATGAATTTGTTTATAATATACTTATTAAATTATATTGAGCTCTGTTTTTCTCACATTATTTACTTAGTTATTTTCAGTATTATGTTGTTATAAAAAATAAAACAAAATTTAAAATAGTCTTATTAATTATTAATTTAATAAATAAATTAGACCAAAAAAATATATTAAAAATGCAGTCAATTCAAAAAATTACAAAGATTTTAATTGTATAATAACATAATTATACAGTAGAATCTGCTTATTGTAATCATTTTGAGATTTGCTTATAACGATAGTAACAACTGAATGATGAATAAGTGAGATAAGTAAACAAGACATTTATAAATTAATAGTACTTCATTTGATGTTAGCCAGATGACATTAAGACATAATATAAAAAATTCTTGTTAGCTTTAATATAATAATATCAAAACTAATTACAATGAGTGAAGTTTTTTAAGTTATTTTAACTTAGACTGATTTCCAAAAATTAAGGAAAAATCACAAAAACTGCAATAATTTAAAACGTTATAAGCTGATTTTAATGAACTTGAGAAAAAGTATACAACACATAGTAAGGTGTAAAATAACATGAAAACAAATTACAGGACAATTATGATGTTATACTAATTAGTGCACATATGAAATTGAGAAATTAGATGTCAGTTTGCTATAGATAAAATATCTTCAATATGGAGTTTGATCACCCCAAGCAGCAATACAGCACATACAGTGATGTGTGGTGTTGTCAATTTTGCAGTCTATAAGGTCAGTAGGAAGTGAGAACCATTGTTCTTGTAAAGCTGCTCTAATCCTGGCAACAGTTTGAGAATGAGAATTGAGAGTAGCAGTATGTCTCCCAAGAGCATCCGAGACATGCTCAGTGGGATTCAGGTCCAGAGATTGAGCTGGCCACTTCATGTGCTGAATTGTTTGCTGCTGAAAGTAACCTTCCACGATATGAGCCCTGTGTGGTCTAGAGTTATCATCTTATAGGATGAAATTATCACCTATTGCACCGGCATAAGGATGCACATAGACATTAAGGATGTCATCTCTAAACACTTGAGCAGTCATGATTTGTTTTAAATGGAAAGACATGGAGGTCTGTACGTCCACTCAACGAGATACCACCCCAAACACATACACTTCCTCCTCTGTATGAATCTCTTTCACAGATGTTTGATGAATGATAACATGTTCCAGTTTCTCTCCAAATCAAAATCTATCTGCTATTGCTTTGCAAGCTAAACTGGACTCATCCATGAAGAGAACAGTCCTTCATTGATCTGCAGTCCAATGGAAATGTTGACACTCCCATTAAGCACTCCCACCTGTGATAAGAGGTGATCAGCACACAAATGGCTGGTTGCCTCACCTATAGACCACCTTAATGAAGCCATCTGCGCACAGTAGATGTTGACACCATTTTTCCAGTGGCTATAGCAAGGAAAGACCTAAGTTGGGTTGGGGTTGAGGTTCTACTCCATGTGCATAACTGCAAATATTCATCATTGGCACTTAACATAGTGCTTGGTTGTTGTTGGCTAAACTTTCTGGATGCCGAATCTGTGGTTCAAAATTGTTACCAGAGTCTATGAACTACAGAAGGACTCATGTTTAACCATCTGGCCACTTGTCTGATTTTGAAGTGCCTCTAATCTCCCAATGGCCCTTTGTTGCAGTTCTTCCAGAAAATAATATCTCAAAGTCATTGTAATGAATTGTCTATCCCAGATTTCTTATGTCACTATCACAGCAAAACTGACAGTCTTACTCTTAAACAAGTAGCATTCTGATGGTAATTCCACTATTTTGCATATTGCAGTTTTGTTTAACACCTTTTATTTAAGAACATACTCAAATTTGTAGCAATTGGTTTATTTTTGAATAAATTTTTGCTATTTTATGAGTTTTTCCTTAATTTTTGGAAATCAGTGTACAGTAGTTTGTTTTAGGATATGCTGCAGTAATATGCTGTTTTTGTTGACTTTGGTTATCATCAGTTTCAGTTTTTGTCAATTTTTTTCACAAAAACTTTATCTAGGTTATCATTGGTTGTCTCAGATTTCATCAGCATGCCCACATGACCTTTCTGCTAATTTTGCGAAAAACAAAGAGTGACCCACGCGTTTTCCTGCTCAGTGTGGCATTGTTTCTTGTTGTGTGAGTATTATCACGCATGTCTAGCCAAAACAATGGGCATATTCAAAATCTCAGTGTGCAGTCAGCACCTCTCAGCATCTCTGTTCAAAATTTCAGATGACTTATGGTTGCTTCCAGCAAACTGCAAGCATCCTTTTTGGTGCTCAATACACCAGCAAACAAGAAAGCAGCCTACATGAGGCTGGTAAGAGCTCTATTTTGCATTGACAATTTTGAATTTAATTTATTTATTTTTTTTTTTATGAATAAACCCTGAATAAATAAATATTCAGTTAGTACATTAATGGAATATTTTAATATACTAGTATATTTACATAAGACATCACATTTTTTTTTTTTCAGTTGTTATAGTGTATTCTTAGGATTGATTGAATTATTTAAAACTCTTACGGGAATTTTAAAAATCTTCATCCCTCTTTCTCTTTTTGAAATATTAATTTTTCATTAAGCTGTTCTCATTAAACAAGTTCAAAAATAAATTTAGCATAGTGTGGAAGTCCACCTTGTTTGCCATTTTTATTGTTTTTCTCTCCCAAAACTTCTACAATCAGCATTTGTGTTCTCTAGAAAATGCCAGCAGTTGCGTCACTTCTGGAAGCATCTTACTGCATTTATGCTGAGATTTTGAGTACTCCCAATTCCATTGCTTTCCTTTCCTTTTAACTCCATCATGGAAAATGCCATGTTAAATGTTCATTTATTCTTTATTTTATAATAATATCATATTGTTTTTAGTGTTAAACACTATTTATTCTCTATAAAATGTATTTTTGGAACCTATTGTGGAATGTATAGAACAAATTAATTGGATTTACATTGATTCATACAGAAATAATTGCCTCAGTTTTCGTCAGTTTTGGATTTCATCATTTGTTTTTGGATGGATTGTTGATGAAAACCGAGGCATAACTTTTTTATATATATTGATATATAAAAAAGCATATGTATTTTTGATAACTTTAGATAACTAACAACAGTGTTTATGATTACAATAAGTAAATTCAACTGTATTTTCAAACATAGGTTACGATTAAGACTGATTATATATATGTTACTGTGAATGACGAAATCTGGCTAATGTCAACATTCTCCGGTGAATGTCAGCATTCACAGTCATTTTGTGTATGTACGAAATATTTGCTAAATATCATCATTTCTCACTTACACCAGCAAATGTGAACATTCAGCATGCACTGATGGTGAATGTAGAATAAAATCATTTTTATTACGTTAAGACAAAAATGCAACTTTTTAATGTGTCAAAATAGGAGAAAGCTTAAGTAACGGCACATGTAAAAAAACTGTTGAACCTAAAATGAACAGTACGTTCTAAATCATTAAAGAAAATAATACAATAATAAACTTACACACAAATTATGTGATTGACGTTGTACAATCATATTTATTGCAGTAACTTAAACTGTTATGGCACTTTGAGTCCCTTGCTTTTACAACTGCATTTATTCGTGGAACACCTCTTTTTGCAATGACAGCGTGTACAGTCGACCATCCCATAACACTGTAGATAATTCTGTGTTATATGAATTTCATGTTATACAAGTCACTTAGATTTTACAAATACGTGAGCCATTCACAGTCCGGCACACGTATTTGTAAAATCTAAGTGACTCATACAACATGGAATTCATATAACACGGAATTATCTACAGTGTTATAGGGGGGTCTACTGTATAGCCTTACCCTCCAGTTTTCGAATTAGCTATAACTAGTGATGTAACGAATATTCGGTTACTATTCGGTATTCGGCCTATTTTTCACTATTCGGCCAAATACCGAATATTTAATCACTATTCGGCCGAATACCTAAAAACAGGAGTAATAAATAACAAAAGCACAGTAAATTAATCATTTTGTTATTTAGATTTAATGTTATCGAGTTAGTGTTGTTGTTTATATTTATTTATAACTTGTAACATGTGCAAAATAAAAATAAAAATAATATTAGTCACATGTATTTACAATTTATAATTACAAAGATCAGCACATGTACACACCTATTCGTTCGAGAATCGTCGCACATCTGACAGTGAGGGTCTGACCCTGCCTATCCTTCTTTTTAAGCGCTTGTCTTTGCTCTTCCCTTTCTCTTTCCTCTATCGCTCTAATCCACGTATGCCTGTGCATACATCATAATACGCGCTCACGATACTTTCAATTCGTCACTTTTTTGTCGTAGAGTTCCCATTTTACAATTACGTGACAGCCTGGTGATAACGGAGAAAAGAGACAGATAGGACGTCGATATAAGTCACAGTTATGATTTCACAGATTCGAGACAGCTTGATAGCCCGAACGGCCCCAGGCTTTCACCCGTGCACGCTAAGTGACTTTCATTACAAGCATTTAGCTTTCCGAAGTCTATGACAACAATTGTTTGGCATTGACGGCCGCGAATTTCGTGCCAATAAGCTGCCTCGACTTGTTCGATTATGTATCGACTCAATTTCATATTTATTTTCACATTTATACTTCGCGGTCCTTCTCTGTTCTTTTTTCGTTATTTACACGTGTAGGTCATTTCATTGTTATCCACATTTGATATCATCATTTATCACATACTTCCATGACACTCTTGTCTGTCCGCTACAACTGCCAAGAATTAACACGATTGGCGAAGCGTAGTGAGAGCGGGCCAATAGAGAGCAGGATCCTTGCCATAATGCGGTTTGCGCGAAAATTTTCATACGTGCGTTAATCAAGCCGAATAGTTTTTCATAACGAATACTATATTCGGCCTGAGGCCGAATATACTATTTGTTACAACACTAGCTATAACTGCTTCTCTCAGCGATATTTCTTGAGAAGAAATCTCATCTATGAAAAGTAACTTTTCTTTACAAATTACGAACTGATTACGTGATTATGAACTGATCTGTTAATGGTGTCTTTTATTTGGATATTGACGAAGCCTTACCGACGACCCCCTCTCATCCTCTGTTACTCGACCTGACTAACCGATCCCCACCTCATGGGATCAAAAGAACAAAAACACCATTTAATGACAATATGGGTGATTTCCACCAAACCGTTGCTGGGAAAAGAGGTACAATCTTGTCTTACCTCTGACTACCCACAAAGGATTTGTCGACAGACTGTCGCCTCTCTGTTGACATCGGCTTTTTAGGTGTCATTTCAACCTCCACCAAAGCTTATCTGTGCTTGTCGACATACACCGGCGATTGTTCGAATGTACAATAATATAACCAAATATTCGGTCTTTCACCGACGTATTTTGTATGTGTCGACATTCTCTAATTTCAGTCTTTCACAGTAACATATATATAATTAGTTATATAAATTATGTTATATTGAGAGTCAGAAAATCCTGAATAATAGAAGTTGTTTTAGAGATTGGATTTTTTTTTACATTTCTGTTTTGTTTTTAACATTATAGTTAAAAATATATATACATCTATATATATATAAATGGACATGTATGTCCCTATATTTCACTTTTTCGCAAAAACTACACATCGCACGTGAATGGTGTTTGTATGTGGTAGTAGCCCCAAGTCTCTATTCGTGCATAGGGGTGGTTGCGTCTCGATAACTGTAAGGGTGCGGGAGACATGGGCTTGAAAGTAGCTTTCTATTTTGAATGTTTTGTTTGAATTTAATTTGAACAATGTTCAAATTTGTTCGAATTAAATTCGAACATAAAATTCGAATATTGGTTCGATTATAGAACTTTATAGAATTTTATGTTCGAATTAAATTCGAACATAAAATTCGAATATTGGTTCGATTATAAAACGATCATAAACGTTCCAGAAACGTTGAAAATAGTTCGTTTGACCGGACGTGAACAGGAGACGTTCAGAAATAGAATCGGGACCAGGTCTCTAATTAGTCTGGAAACGGGGGACCTAATTCTTGCATTCTGTGAAAACGGGTAAGATTGGCTATAATGCAATTATCTTAATCTTCACTATCGTTACCTTTTAAAAACCCAGCGAAGCGGGTCCTTGCAGCTAGATTCTAGATTACTTAGAAAAACAGTCTTTTATATATATATAAAAAACTATATTACATACAAATGTATGAACAAATAAAAACCCAGCGAAGCAGGTCCTTGCAGCTAGTATAAAAATATAAATCTTTAAGAATTTGTTGCATGTATTTTCATCTTTGATTTTAGTTTTAATTTAAATTTGTGATAGTAAATATTTTTAACTGTGGATCACAATGCATAGTAATTGTATATGTAATTGTGAGTTTTAATTGGAAAACAATAGTTAATAGTACTTAATTATTAATTATTGAACAAAAATTTACATTTGGTTTGGTTAATTTTGTTGTTATAGATAGCATGGTATTGTTAATATAATAGGTCATGCTTGTTTTAAAATACAGTAGAGCCTCGAAAACTCAACCTAATGTGGACCGAAGGGTGGCCAAGTTTGTGAAAATGCTGGGTTATCGGGAATGGGGTTAAAAAAATAAGTATGAGTGTTTCCTCAGAAAATACTGTACTGTACTTGTATGTATTGTTTACTTGAGAATACAACAGAAAATAAACTGCCCAAATACCCTTAAACAAAGGAAAAGTATGTCCTTTATGAAGGTATAGAGCCTTTACTACATGAAAATGAAAATTAATGAATACACTGTATACAATAATTTACCTGATAAGACAGACCTCAGAAAAATACTTTGAGGCATAAAGCTGTCTATAATGAAAATTAATTAACTAAGGATTTTTTTTGCCCTGCCAAGGTGTGGCCGAGTTATCTGGAGTGCCGAGTTTTCGAGGCTGTACTGTACTAATAAATTTCAGATTGAAACATGATAAATGTTTGTGTGCTTGGGTCGTCAGTGTCATATATAAAATTTCTACATGTTTATTTAAACACAGTTACTCTTTCTGACAGTTAAGAAAAATTCTACCATTGTATTCACATTTGTTGCTTAGAAATAGCATTTTTATAGAAGTACTAGATATAATTTTATCTAGTACTTCTATAAAATTAATTTGAATATATTTGCATGTTAGAAAAGAATTATAGTAAACAATTTGTTTCAGTAAATACTAGAGCTTTTAACTGTTCATGATAATTGTTTGTTTGTTACATAAAAGTTAACTTTGTTTTCATTTATAAAACTATAATAATTTACAATTGGTACATACATTTTTTTTTATTTTTTATTTATTTTAATTTGTAAACTATATTTTTTAGTTTTCTCCAGAAAAGATACATTCACAATTAGGGCTCTAAATAATCCTGTGATTGAGATAAGTTTTAATACAAAACTTAAAACTAGCCACCATTCTATAATGTTTTTTAAAGTTTATAATTACAAGATTTCTTTTTTATAAATCTATATATATATATATATATAAATAAATGGACATGTGTGTGTCTATATTTCAAAACTACACATCGCACATGAATGGTGTTTGTATGTGGTAGTAGCCCCAAGTCTCCATTCGTGCACTATGGTGGTTGCGTCTCGATAGCTATAAGGGTGCGCGAGATATGGGCTTGAAAGTGGAAGATTTTCTATTTTGATTTTAAAAATTTTCGAATTTGAATTTGTATTCAAATTGGTTCGATTATAGAACGATTGTAAGCGTTCCAGAAAATTGATCAAATTGAAAATAGTTCGTTTGACTGGACGTAAAAATTCTGTAATTAGTCTGGAAACTGGGGACCTAATTCTTGCATTCTGTGAAAACGGGTAAGATTGGCTATAAATGTAATTATCTTAATCTTCACTATCGTTACTTTTTGCCCAGCGAAGTGGGTCCTTGCAGTTAGATTCTAGATTACTTAGAAAAACAGTCTTTTATATATTACATACTATATTACATACAAATAAAAACCCAGCGAATCGGGTCCTTGCAGCTAGTTATACATAAATAGATGTGCTATCTGTAAAATAGTTTATGTAATTGTTAACTTTTTTTCCATCTAAATAAAATTTTAAACTGAACTTTTAACATTTACATATATGTTATATATATTGGTTTAAAGATATTTTTCTTTTTGGTTTTTGGAATTTTTGTATATCAAAATTATGATGATCAAATTATATGATTATTAAAAGTTAAAATCAATATCATCATCATCATCACTATTGTAAAATAAGTTTTATTGATAGGTATTTTGAAGATGTTAAAGAGAAAAACGTTATTAGTAACATATGAATAAAATTTTGAACTAAAGTTAAGATTTACATTTTAACTAATGTTGTTCAGTTTTTTTTTTTTATACAATAGAAGAGAGAAAATTTGTTTAAAATTTGTGCTAAGCTAATTGACAAGAAACACTGAATCAAAACTGCAATCCCCCCTCTTTTTTTTTTTTTTTTTTTTTTATTTATTAAGAGTTACAAAAATTCTTTTGATAAACGAATATTTTCCAAATGTTTAAGATAGCAAATGAAAGATTATTAATTGTTTTAGTCATATCAAATTGATGAATAATCTATTAGCTGTTTAATTAAGTAGAAACTAATTTTAAACAGTATTTTGATAATTTCAAATTCTTTAAAATTTAATTTCTCTTGTTTATTGGTCTCTGAAACTTATCACCATTCTATAGTTTGTATATGTTTCTCTGTGTATTTATTTATTTATTTTTTATCATTATCCAAAAATAAGATGTTACTATTAATTGTTATGATTTGAGATACAATTTTTAAATATGATCTATTAATTTTAAATTATAAAAATTATATTATGATTCAAATATAGATATTAGATCAGTATTAATTAGAAAATTAAAACATGTTGATAATTTATGGATTTTAAAATACTAAATACTTAATACAAGTAAAGAATATCTATAAAATGTATTGTAATATTACTAAATAGTTAACAGTATAAAGGTTTAATTTTAACTTAAAAACTTCATAAAATTGAGATTCAATACATTAAAAATATGTATAAAAGGTGAGATCTTTTTAATCATCTTATTTGGTTACAAATAAAATTTAAGAATGGGCATTTAATTATTATTGTGTGCTTATTAAAAGTGAGAAAATTAATATATTATTTTAATAATTGTTTGGAATAAAATATTAATTAAGTGTAATTATTAATTATATTTGAAATTATTAAATAATACACAAATATTGCTAAACCCTATATACAATATAGCTACACCAACCAAATGCTGAAAATCTATCGGACTAGTATAAGCCCGATAGATTTTCGGCATTCGGTTGGTGTGTAGTTAAATAATACATTTTGTTTTAATAAATAATAGTTTTGAATATAATTTTGTATTTTATATTTATCAAATAATTTAAATTTTTATTTTAAAATTAATTATATATTGTAAATTTAATAAAAGTTTCTAAGTGGTTTTTAATTTGTGTAAAATAATAGGGCGATTTGGAATCCCTAGGGAAGATAGGCAATCTCTTGGAGAACAGTGTTTTAATCCTGGATATAGAAATGATCATCCCAAAGGGTTTGTAGATAAAGGAAGCTTACAAACAACTTCAAACATCAGTGGACAACCTGTATCTAATGACAGATATAGTGACAATATACAAGGCACTAATTTTTCTTTATCTGATGTGAAAGCGGCATTGGCTGAACTACTAGCTGTCCAAGGAAACCAGGTAGTTATACCTGCGACAAATCCAGGTATAAGCTCTCACAATAGCTCTCTTAGTTTTAGTTCTCAAAATTATTCAAGATCATTTTCTGCTGACAGACAAATGTCAGATGATAGTTTTTCTCATTCTGAGACAGGGCCTGTTTTAAATAGTTCATCTCCATCTAGGTCTAAATTATATCGTACTGTATCCAACACTGTAGATAATTCATTATCTAAAATTTGTACGCCGAGTACTAGTAGTTTTTCAAAGAATTTCTTTCTCCCCGATAGAAGAAATATGTATTACAATAAAGATAACCATTCGGAAAGAAATCGGTACAATTCTGTTGAAGATGTTGATTTTTATCAACAGCAGATACCATCAGTGAAATCAGGTTCTTATCAACAATTTCAAGAAAAGAATAATGGTCAGGGATTTAAGTAATATTCATATGCTTAATTTCATTTGAATAAGAATTTCAATTAGAAATGTGCATATATTCACAAAAAAATAAAATAACTGTGTGTAATCTTGTAATAGATATTTTCATTGCAAATTTGTACAGAAATTCATAATTGTAATTGTGATTCATTAAGTTATCTTGAAGTTTTGTCATTTGTCATTCTTTGATATGAATTTGGTGTAAAATATAAGATTTTTAATTTCAGAGTAAGTATATAAGATACATAACAAAATTTTTAGGTGTTTGATTTTATAGTGATTAGAATTTATTATGTTAAGTTCTGGATCAGCACTCTTTATTGCTTAAATTTCAAAGCAGAAAGAATTAAGTTTCAAAATAATAAACAAGTTATAACTTTCTTGTTATAAGAGACAATGTTAATCCAATATTTATATATATATTTTGATTAGTTTATATCTTGCTATTTTAGGAAAGTAGAATTTTTAAATGTTTAGAAAGTTAAATTTAACTTTTGAATTAAAATTCTACTTTAAACATTCTCTGAAATAAAAATCTGAAGATGATGAATTTGTGTTTTAACATTACTTACACTGCACAAGATCATTGGATTAACATTGTTACAATTTCATAAAACAACTTTAAAGAAACTTAAAAGCAGCAATAATTGTTGCTTTGTAAATTTACTTACATTTGTGTTCTGTAATTCTGCTTTACTGGAAAAAAGAAAAATAACTTAATAATTATTGTGAAAATGGAACAAATGTGTAATAATCTCATTTTCAATAAACTTTAGTTCATTACAGTTTTAGATATAATGGAATGAACCAAGTTATCTAACAATACAATCCATACTTTACTCTTACTATTTTGTTAATTTATATATATATGTAGATAATATTATGAACATTATTATATGAAGGTTGAAATTCTTTAATGGAATATTCTGTATGAATTGCATATTTTCAAAATAGCTAAAATAATAAAGGTAGGTTTGATATTTTTATATATGGATGTATTATAATATTACTAGACTGAAACATTAGAAGTTATCATATTTTACTAGCTTACCAAATAACTAGAGGATATTATATATGACTAAATAACAGTAATGTACCATTTAGATTTATTTAATTACTATTATAAAATATCTTAATTAAAATATATCTTTATATATAAAGAACTTATGTTAGGTCCTGTATTCTAATTACATTTAGTTATCATGAATTAATGTAATAGAACAATGGGAAATCATAAAAAACACCTAGTGTATTGAAATACACTTGCATTTTAAATTTTTGATGAGCATAACTTCTCGTAAATGTGAATTTAACATAAATTATAATTGTATCACTAATTTTTAAAACATAAAAGATTGTCTTTTAGTATATTTTGGATTCATTTTTGTACTGCTTATTATTTTACTCAAAAAATAATAATAATTACTATTATATATTGATTTATATTTATATAAACTAGATAGTACATAGTAAAGTATTGTATAATACAGTATATTGTGCAGTTGTAAAAAAAATGTTTAACATTGATTTTTACATGCATTACATCAATACAGATATGCACTGCTGAGTGATGGTCTGCATATACAATGAAGGTCCCATAAAATTATGAATAGAGCTGAGAAAATCATAGTTGCCTATACTTTTTTGCATTTAAATGGACCCATATTACATTTCTGGTTCCCTTGTCTCAATTAATGGAAAATGACAAAGTTTTATAAAAATCAATTTATTAGATTCTGAGAATGAACTCTATTCTATAAGCCCATACAAGTCATGCTAGTGACCATGAAACATTGCATGACAAAGTCTTTCTATTTGTGCAATATTTCTTTGTCATGCGTGCTTGTGAAATGATCTCATAACTCAAAAACAAAGTTGTGGACCCTTATTTATTTATTGCATTTTTGGATTCCGCATTGCAATTAATATAAAATGGTTAAGTTTAATCAAAATCGATTGAATGGATTTTGAGAATGGACACAATTCTGTAAACCTCATAGATGAAACTTCACCTAATATGCCACTTGAAACATAGGGAAGGTATGGTAATCAGTCAAATTTTGACCCTTTCCTACTTTTTGCATTTCTCAACATTCTGACACAAGCCCATAAATGAAAAAAAACATACAAAATTCTGTATGTGTATATTGGTATTCACTTTGCATTATATTTCAGGAATGGTTCAATGAAAAATTTTGAAACTTGATGGCATATATTTATATATACATGCTTTGATGCTATTAAATTTTGGTGGGTCAAGGGGATGGTCATAAGTCATATCTTGAGTGGGGTCAGATTTAAACACACCCTACCCAAAAATAAGCCTTCTGCTTTTTTATAATAATTAATATTAATACAGTAGAACCTCGAAAACTCGACCTAATGTGGACCGAAGGGTGGCCGAGTTTGTGAAAATGCCGAGTTATCGGGAATGGGGTTAAAAAAAATAAGTACGAGTATTTCCTCAGAAAATACTGTACTGTACTTGTACAGTATTTACTTGTACAGAATATAACAGAGAATAAACTGCCCAAATACCCTTAAACAAAGGAAAAGTACGTCCTTTATGAAGGCATAGAGCCTTTACTACATGAAAATGAAAATTAATGAATACACTGTGTACAGTAATTTACCTGATAAGACAGACCTCAGAAAAATACTTTGAGAGCTTTTATACTTTTATAAAGCTGTCTATAATGAAAATTAATTAACTAAGGATTTTTTCGCCCTGCCAAGGTGTGGACCAGTTATCCGGAGTGCTAAGTTATCGAGGGACGAGTTTTCGAGGTTCTACTGTAATACTATTTTTTAAATAAAATCTCATAACATATGGCACTACACATAATTTTAACTTTGTAAATTATGAGTGCCAGGAAAGTCACTTGAGAGATGTCACGTGAATTTCCCTTAAAAAATTGTTTATTTTAATTTTTAGTTACTATTTAGTTTCTAGATTCAATGCTTCTATGGGTGTTTTTAATGTTATAGATGCACAGAATTCAGAGATTAATTCCTAATTTGTATGTGTATATTTCATGTAAAGAAATTCTTTAATACCATTGATCATTATATAAGTGATGTCATTAAAAATGAGATGTCAGCTATCATCAAAAATTCTGTATTTATGAAATCCCATTGTTGTTTCTGTTAATTTAATAAAATAGTTCATAATAATTTATTTATTAAGTAATATAATTAAGAATTACTTCTTTCTGATGGACAAAAAATATTTTCATTTGTTGTATACTTGTAAAGAAGAATTTTAGTATTTTTACTGTGATTTTATTGCATTTCTAAGAAGATTATAGAAATATTATTTTTATCATTTAATACAATAGTATTTAATGCTACTTATGGCAGAAATTCAGTCATGTTAAGAATGAGTTTTCTTAACTTGGTCAATACCTTGATATATTATAGAAATAATATAAATTGAAAAACATAAATGACACAAACTTATATTTACTCTTTTTCTACAAATAGATATTATAAGATTCATTGAATCAAAGGCATCAACATAAAATCTAACAGTGGTTATATTTGTAATATATATACTGTACATGAAACATTTAATCAAAATTTATTTTTTAATTATATATGTTTGTAAATAAAATTGCTTAATATTATAATAGATACAATAACAACAGAGGAAAATTGATATGAAAGTAGAAGATGCAAAAATAGTAATTTTGGAACAGAAGAAAGAACTAGAAACAACTTGAATTCTGATGATGATCTACATTTATATACTTATTGATTGTGAAAAAAATAAAATAACTGTAATGCAATGTGCAATGTTTTCATTCCAAATATTAAATATTGATTGTAAAATATTACAATGCTGTATGAAGTAGATAAGGTAATTAGATATTTGGTTTGAGTTGATTGCACAGCTGTGTCAGTAGTATATTTTTCAAGTACAGATACCCCACATTACATTACTTATCTTTTATGAAAGCTCTTTATTATTACTTGTTTTTGCTAACAGAAAAATCTGAAGAGGAGTTTTACTTTTATGAAAAAAGATGAAAAACAAAACTAGCATTTAGAGTCATTGTATACTTTGAACAGCAAGAGCAGCTTCTAAACTTTTTCACTGGAAGCTACACATAGCATCAAGCTGCCACAACTTTGAACTATGTCTGTTAGCATCTATGCTTTTTATGTCAATTTATTTGCACATCCATTAGTAAAAATGCAGCAAGGAAATGTTAAGTCCATTGCTTGAGTTGAATGTTGGGTGTACTAAGATGGTGTTACATCTTAATGTAAGAAGAAATCAGTTAGTCTTTTTGATAAGCAGAGACAGAATGGACGATGGCAATGAAAGTATTGCAAAAGTGGAATTTAAAGTTAGCCCCGTGTGGTTGGTTGGTTTTTTCAAACAAGGGCAGTTTTGTACTGCTGGTGAAGTTTCATTAACTATACTGTACTTACGTTTCTACTTTTTATATGTTGTGTACTTACCCTATCATTCCTATTTTTATTACATATTATTATTATTTTATGTTTTATGGGTTTAATAAGTTAATTTTGAGTCAAGTAATGGTAAAAAATTTTCCAGTATAAATTAATGGTAATTGCTTCTTTGCTTTATGCCATTTCAGCTTAGAAAAGGTTTCATGGAAAACTCTGCTTTTGGATAGTTGGGACCTTGTATCTGGGGTTTTTTTAGTTGTTAAAGAAAATATAAAAAACGAGTCAAGATCATTAAAACAATAAAGAAATAGAAGTCAAGTTTAAGAGAGAATTTTAGAAGTGATTATTACATTGAAGGAAGACAACTGATAAGTCACTGATCTACAGAAGTATAGAATATAAATCTCAAGAGTTTAGTGAATGAAAATGAAAAATGGATGAATTTAATTGGGTATTTCAGATCATTTAGTAATGCTGCAAATAATTTAATTAAGATTTTCAAATGGTAAATGAAATTTTTAAAAGCACAATGACTGAAAGGAGAATTCAGTTTTTAGTATATTAACTAACTTTGACTATGAGCTTATTTACAGATAGACATGAGGTGAGATTGATACTTGTTATCAAAGGAAAAATAAATAAAATAATATTGAATATTGAAATAAATGTTCTCTAAAAGGAAGATTTCAAAATACTTAAGAATGTGAATTATTATTTTTTCCTCTAATGATGATTAATTTATTGTGAAAATACACTTGTTTTTCTTAAAATAATATTCAAGTTCACAACTGAAATAATATTGCTTAATGCACAATTTTTATTATTTTGAGCATGTAGAGAACTGTTTAATGTTTAACAATGATGAATTCTTTTCTCTTGGATTTTTAACATAAGACTTGGCAAACCAAGTCGGAGCTGGATAAATTGGTTATGTATGATATTTTCTGAGTTACACTTGTATATCTGTTCAGTAATTCATTAAGTTTCGCGTGACAGCATTTCATTTCAGCTTTTGCAGAAGTAAATGAATGCCCTTAAGTTTTTTGAGTAAAATATTTCTTACCTAAATTATCTTAAGTGGAAATATATTGGAAGCAACAAATTTAACTAAAAATATGTATAATAAATTCATTTTGGTTGTTGCTTTAATTCTCCATAATATTAAACTACCCATAATTCGGAAAACTAAAAATGAGGGGAAAAATCAAGAAATGTGATGGGTTCAAGAATTTTGTCTTATTATAGTTTTGCAATTGAAATCTTTGTCATACGTTTAAGCAGTTTACTAGGGTACGTAGTCTTCTTGGAAGATAAATGAAGAACTTAAAATTTTACGAGTGGTTAATATGTAAATAATAATTTGGATTATAAGTAAACATTTTAAAGGTAAGTCAATGTTAAAAATTCTGTGTATATTTGCCTATGTATAATTTTTAATCTCGATCATTCCTTATGACCGTAGGAGAAAAAAAATTTTTGGAATTTTATATTGAACCTTTGCATTACTACCATTACTTATATATCTAAATGCTTGCGAAAGATTGCATGTTTGTCGTCTTGTTAAGATTTTTGCCAAGTAACATTAAAAAAAAATTCAAAAAGTAAACTATGACGTTATCCATTTTCAATTCTCTCCTTAGGTTCATGCAGAGGAATGTTACTTAATTAAAAATTACACTAGTGTATATGTGTAAAGAGACTTTTGACTGGTCTAAAATAGTTTTGAACTTGTAACGAAATTTTTCAACTGGAAAGATGAAATATTTCATATACAAAATTTTTTGACTGGGTGAAGATGAGAAACAATGAAAGTTAATCATCACAAGTCCGTGATCTTTCCGTTTATGATTGTTCAAAGAGAAAGAAACTTTAAAAGGCGGTATTTTCTTGTAATCGAAAAATTTCGTTATTAGTAATAATTACCTTTAATTGAATTAGAGAAAATTATTACACGTATCGATGTGAGGTGTGTGTATTTATATGATGGTATGAAAACGGGTATATCTGTTTAATTGTAATTATCTATTTTTCACGTACGTAATTTATTTCAAGTAGTTACTCAAAAAGTTTTGATAACAGTAAGAGATATAGTAATATTACTAAGAAAATACTTAAATTTCTTGTTATGTTTGTCACAACATTGCTAAATGTATTTTTTTTTTAATGGAAATGACTTCACAAGAATTTTTAGTAAGTTTCTTCGTGTTTTCAGTCATCAATAATCAATTTGAACCGTCGAGAAAATCGAGTTAGTTCATTAATTAGAAAGTTATAAAGTATCTGTTAAAACAGTAGCATTGTACCGTTGAAGGTGCATATCTGATATTGAATATAAAAAATATTTTATTATTAGCGATGTCAACATGCAAGACGTGTCTGGAAACTTAAAATAATTAAAAAATCGTGTTTATGCTGGTTCGTTTTAAAAAATATTGCCGTTTATTGCATTAAAAATTCACTTTTGGATAAATTATCGTTGATAAAAACAGTATGGCTATTATAAAAATTAATTTTGTTAACAATACATTTTTATTGTTTTCTGTTTTATTGTCCGTTTTGTGTATTAATTGATGCACTAAAAGTTACGACACGTAAAAAAGTTGTTTCATTATCAATGAAATCAGTCGAGCTATGATGATACTGAATTCAGTATTAAACTTCTTGAGTAACGCAAAACTGAAAATGCAGAACGGTATCTCTCAATATCGAATTAGGGGGGAAAATTCAAAGTACACAAATAAGGAAAACGAAGACACGTAATTTTTGTAATGAATGTGGTTGAACGGGTAATTGGAATGCTCATTATTAATTTGTAAGAAGCAAAAATTCAATATTTTTTTTTATCATCTCTCGGATAATAATGCTGATTGGTTTGTCACGTATTCTTTTGGAATGCCTTCGAAACTGCATTCGAGTTTTTAACTCCGAAGGCCATTCGCTAAACAAGCTATGAAAAATTGTGACGTGCCAAATATTCGTGAAATTTCGACCGTTTAAAATCATCATCATAATTTTTATTTCATACCAATAACAATGGAAACGCGATTCTTAAGGTCTGTTCGATTGGTTTGGATAGTGTACGTTTTTACGTAACTGACGTTATAACGTTAGGGCCACGCAGAGCACTATGTTTACTATGAGACCAAAAATATCTTACAATCCGATCAAGAAGAATCTAGAGAAGGAGACAACCAATCTCTACAACCAAGCCCGCAGTAGAGGGAGTATCCCGAGACATCACCACAGCCACCCTTGCAACGGCAAGTTGAAAACACCGAACAACACTTAGCTGCTGCGCCATCCATCTCCCTGGATATATCCTCTGGTGGCCAGTGTAGAGCACTGGCCCCTCTACCCATAACAACATACGGCTGCCATTGCCAGCTGATGGCGCACCACTAACTACAGACCCAGCCGACCCGCCAACAGGTGAAACCAAGATCCCAATCTTGGTAAGAGCATGGACCCAGCGCTTTATCTCAGCAATAGATGAGGACATGCTGGAAGCCATGTTGACGGACTTGACCAGCCTTGTCTAAGACATCAATAGACTGCAGCCTCTGAACCTCCAACCACCAACAAGAGGAAGTAAAACCAATAATAACCGCCGTCTGAGAGATGTTAGTTGATAATGTGACCGAGCACAGAATTGTGTATTAGGATCTTTCATTGTAAAACTGACTCATTGATGTAAAAATGTATTCTGTTCCAACCAATCAGACAGGTCTTCATTTGCACTAGTGTGATTTGATCGCCAGAGGGGTTTATAAGATGAATTCAGAAGTTTAACTATTAAGTTTGTTCTTTTGGAGTTTCAGAATAATTGCGATCCTCATTTGAACTAACTCAATTTCGGTGATTCGTCAAAATTTGTACTACTACAACTTTGTCCCTCTGGTGGCTAAGTCGAACACCGTTCATTGTTTCATTGTTTTTTACTAAAATTCGAACGATTATTCTTAACTTGGGCCTTCACGATCAGTATTTATTTGAAAATTACTTCAATACTACCGAATAATTTCGCATTTCAAACCATAGCACTATGGTCTAGTTTTTGAGAGGATCGGTATCATTTCACTTACGAATTAAACGTTAAATTGTTTTTCCGAAAACGGAAAATAGCCGCTTCAAGAGTATTAGAAGGTTAATTTTTCATAATATGTAACTTATGTGAAGATGTATATAGAAGCTATTAACAGCTGATAAATGTACATGCCAACAAGTGTTTGTCAACTGACGCAAGTTGTGTAATCGTAACATCACAGTGGTGAAAAACTTGCACCTTCCTCCTAGTTGACGAGAATTTGCGTAAATGAGAAATCCAAGAGGATATTCTAAATTTAACTTTCTACCTTTCGCAATATACTGTTAATACAGGTTTTACGTATTGTAATTTCGAGTTGATAAAAGTTCAGTTGCGGTGTTTATATCTTAAACTTCGTGAAATGAATGGGAGGCCAATAGATATCAGAAAATTACATTTACTAGATCATGACTAATCGCAGATCCTGAAACCAATAAGTTACAGAAGGCGTTTAGCATTTGCAAAGTGCTGTCTACGCCGATATATAAGTAAACAGAAAAGAAAATAATAATCGCGTTATTATAGAACATAAATATTAAATTTCTTAACAAAAGGAATGTGCGAGCGTCTGAAGTTTAGTTTTTAAAGTCCATACCTTTACGGGTAACGTTGCTGTAGATCGAACGATACATGGGCATTTAAATGAATTGCGTTTCATGTGAAAACTATATATTGTCATGTTTCTATTTGATGTAATGTTAGGTATGAAATGAGTATCTTCAACGTAAAACAGATATTGGGGAAAACATTGAAGTTATGGAAATGACATGCGTATCGAGTAGAAAGAAGGCATTGTATTCGGAAGGTGTTTCAAGAAGTGCAAAGAATTGTCTTTATCAAACAGTATGGAAATTCGTGGATCTGGTGCCGATTTAAGATATAGAAATATTGTTTGTTGTTTATTATCTAGATGTTTTTAATGAAATTGTGAGGCAACGGGTTGTATTCGCCAATGACTAAACTTAGTTATTTGGAATGGATGGTGTGATGGTCGACGACGATAGGTTTGTTGGGGTACTGTTTTTCGTTCTGGAGTCGAAAGTTGTTTGGCAAATGCATTACGTGTTGTGCTTTTTAACTAAATGTCTGGCCGAGAAAAAAATTACGATAAATTCGACAGAACTGGAAATGGAAGTACGTAATATGACTTCTAATATATGAATAGATACGCATGAAATAGAAGTCGTGGGATTATAAAAATTTCGAATTGGTTCACACGAGATAATTAAAATTATTGGAATTTGTCGAAATGAAAAATATTTTATGCGGGAAATAGATTATCAATAATGTAAGGACCACTCTAGAACAAATGCTCAACCGGCGTTCTACAACTTGGAGAAAGGTATGCATTGCGTTTAGATAATGGTTAAAAGAATATCAATGATTATCGAAGCATTCCGATTATCTTCGCGATATGAATGTTCTGTTCGTGCTTAGAACTGAAAAAACTCATTCTGTCTAAAATAGTCGATTCACACGACGCTGCGACACCAGTGACGTGTGGGGAAAAAAACACTAGTGAAGAAACACTAGTGTCAAGAATTGTTTCAATCTGAATTCGTAAGTTTAGCATAACTAGTATTTATTCGTAATGTTAGAATAATTTACTTTAAATCCAGTCTGTAAATAATAATTGAAAACAAGTAGCCTATCTTCTCAGGTTAAAAACTGAATCTACTTTGAAACGTTATTTAGCAAACGAAAGTGAAAAGAATTTAATTTTAGAAATAATTTTGCCATTCATGTCCGGTAGGTGGCGAGGCGTCGTGCCGCTCTGTAATTCTGCGCATGCGTACATCATGAACTTTAATGTTCTAATTCTTGCTAGCGATTATAAAACAGTACGATTTCCTGTCAAGCAAATTCAATTTGTTGCGTAAAACACATCAAAAATATTTATAAGCACGATACTTCATTAACTAAATATTTTTACTTCGTTGAAGTACTTGAAACTTTCAATGTCAGTATATATAACACGGAAAAATGTATTCAGAATAAATTTGACTTGTATCAGTAATCCAAAAAAAATTACATACATAATTCTTTTAAAAATTTCTAATGTGTATGAGTGTTAATTTTTAATGTTTTCATGTAAATTGTTTTAATATAGTATATTAGTATACTAAATGAAATATTTCTTTAAGTATGTTAGTGATGAGACTACAAACTAAGCAATAATTATGTTAAAATCACTTCCAATTCATAAAAGTAAATTAAGTATTTTATTTGCTGTTATAAAATTATTCTTTAATAGTTTTATTGTCAAATGTTAAATTATAAATCTTTTGATATATTCCAGATAAATTTTTTTTGTAATATATGCACATTAATTAATTTTTTTAAAACAAAAAAAAATTGAGTTTTTATTTATAACTGCTGTATATTATACATATATACAAAATGTTTGTACTGTACATGATTAAAATTGCTATACACTAAACCCGTTTGTTTAAAATCAAAATTATAATTTCATATTTAAAATGTTATGTTTTGGAAGAAGTAATAAATTTATTCAGATGCCATTTCATTAAAAACTATTTTTAAAATACATTATCCTTTTCTCTTTTCAGGCGTTAAAGAAAAGTGATGAGTCTTGCATATAGTACAGATGGTAAGAGTAGTTGTAAAATTATTGTTCATATTTACAGATGATAAGCTAAAACATCTCGTAATCAGTTATTGTCTTTTCTCTCTCGTTCCAATTCCAACCAAGGATCTTCAAGCATAGAAGAGTTAGCATAATTGCTAATGTTGTCGCTTCCGCCGGGATTGCAGTTGGAACTACGACGGGAGTCACGGAAATTATGCTAGGGGGAAAAATAAATAAATATAAATGGAAAGTTTTAAATTGTGCAACTAGACGGAAATTGAAATTCTCAATAGACAACAAAATAAAGATTCAGGTGAGCAACAAGATCTATGGTCACTTGATGTTTGATTATTAATCAGTGTTATGTCGTCGATAAAAAGAATTTATAATAATTTGGCCGTTAATTCCCTCTGTACATATGAAAATATCTCGTGAGTGAATGACTTTTGTTATTTGATTGAATGCAATCTTATTTTGATTTTTTTTTTATTAGTAATAATATACAACAAGTTCTTTGTATATCTGTTTTGTTTACATAAAATTAGAATTGGAAAATTTATTTTCGTAAGGTGTATCCATACAGTCTGCAAAATGTTAAGTTATAAAGAAGTGTGCCTCGACTAATAATTTTTGCTCCATAAAACTCTCTAAATTGAGAGTATGAATCTGTTAAAAATAAAAAATTGTGGGTAAACATTTTTGTGTGTATATAATGCTTGTAATTTTTTTAAAATATTTACTTAAATTTAGATAATTAATAGGCAATGTTTCTAATCTGCAATGTTCCATCACAAAAATCAGTAAAAGTTTAATGTTATATTTTGGGAGAGTCTGTGATTTAAATTATTTGTACTCAAGTAAGATGGCAGTTGTCTCAACATCCAGAAGCCACGGCAACGGTCTTTCCATCATCCCAGAATCAGCAAGAAGTGATTTGGTCAATAATTTATCTACTTCCAGTCAATGAAAAAGTTTGATGTGTAATAATTACTATTGATGAAAAAGTAGACAGTCAGACGTGTACATGTGGAATGGAATAAAATTGTCAAGAAACTTTTGCTTTTTTGTTATCTAAAGAGTTTCACATTACAAAGTTGTCACAGTCTGCTCTTACATTTAAAAAAAAAAAGCAGAACATTTTGCTAATTTTGTTGATATTTAATATCATCCTAAATTTGGATTAAATTAATAAACAAGTTAGTGGAAGAGCAGAACGTGATAATTTTTACACATGATCAGAAGCACTATGCATAAAAACAATGTTAGAAATCACAAAGTAGCTCAGGATTTCAGGTAAGAGTTTATTAATTTGATTCTTTACAGAAATTTTCAAATGTAGAATTATCATTCTTTCATTGTTAAGTAAACAAATCGGTATTTAAATCATACTTATCAATAGAAAGGCAACGTTACTTAGTAGTAAACACTAACCCAGAAATGTTTAGGATTAAAGTAATAAAATTTTTAAAACATGATTGAATAGTATTTAGCATAGTGATTTAAAATTAACTCGGAACTAATATTGCTTTACTTAGACTATTTTAACTGGCAGAAGCCTAGAGAGATTCTGGAATAGGTATTCAATTTACCTTATAAAATTATACTAAAATTAAGTGCTTTCAATTAAAGGGATTAAGGATGCTAAGAGATAATGGGTGCAATGGCTGGTAAAGTGAGCCAATTTCATTTGAAACAGACTTGCTTATCAGCTAAATTAAAGCTGCAGTGCTGCTTTACCATCAACACCCCATGAGGAAGGGGAGGATGAGTGTAACTAGCAGACCATCCCAGAATCTCAGGTGGAGCACTTCAGATGTGCACGCTTGGATGTTTACAGTAAAATAAATAAATGTTCCCATTACCGTTACGTGACCCTGCATACAATTATATAAATGAACGTTAAACTCTACCTTTTTCTTCCCATAATTCTTTCCACCGGAACCAGAATCAAAGGATTCCCAGCTCAAATTAGGCGTGCGTACGAACGAACCAGAACCATAGGATTCCCAACTGGAATTAGGCGTGCGTGCGAATGAAGGACCCGGAGATATATAATTAGATTGATCGAAATGGTGGCCGTAGTACGGCGAACGATTAGAATTCGGAGATTCGAAATTATAGCTTCGATTCGGTGTCCTGGGGCTAGCGTTACGAGACGATAAATCGGGCGAAGGTAGTCCTATAGGGGACGAATGCAGACAACGTGGTCGCCTGTCGAATTTGCTCCGTTTCACCTGCGACGGATCGTCGAATCGTTGATTATGATGGACAGCATTGTAGTAAGGACTTCTGTTGCGATCATTTCCGTACATAACTTGCACCAACAGTCCAAAAAAATTCTTAAAAAAACAAAAATATAACGATATCACGTTGGTAACAAAGAACCTAACATGCAGTAATGGCGTCCTCTGGCAGAGAATATAATCTCAAACCAGTAATTTTGCCTTAACCTCTTTTTTTTTTTTAATCGAATAATACAGAAGGATATTATACTCAAGAAAATGATTTTAGACGATTTCGGAGTATTTATTTACGAAAACGATTCAAAAATGGCCACGGCGTTCGTAACAAAAGTTCGTCTGGTTTTCGACCGGGGAGATGCGGTCACGTGATGCGCTTCCGTCATAGAGGATAAATGTCGATTTAATGCAATTAAATGGTCGAGAGGTAAATATTCCGTCGCGTATCGTTAACGTAAATGTTTAGGAAATTTTTGTAATTGTATAAGTCCCGATACGTTTAACGGTTATTAATTAGAATTTAATTGTTATTGACGACGTCGTCGTCTAGTTATAACGGATAATGATAAATGTAATTAAAAATCCGGCTTGCCGAGGCGTAATTTAAGGAACATTGTCGATTCGGATACGTTCGGGTTTATTTTGACAGGTTAATTCGTTTGGCAAGGTTGGGTTTTGATGTTTAATTATTTATAGTACGAAGCGGAAGCTACGCCTGAAAATAGCTCACGATCTGTTAATTAGATTTGGCCGACGTCGAAGTTCTTTCATTAGAACTTGTTTCGTTTAATTAAGTTCAAGTTGGAAAAAATTATGTAAGCGCGCTTTCACAAGTCCTCTTTCGTGTAGAGGAGAATCGCTTATCGTTAGCGAATTTCTAAGAATTACAAGTGTTGATCCCTTATCTATCTGCGTATTTATTATTACATGGTAGATAAATGGAGTTGGGACAGATCCCAAATGGTGTCTCTACCGTTTTTACATAGGTTAAACGTCTCTGCTAGTGTGTATATATATCTATTTGGGTCTACTACATAGTTGTAATTATATAATAAATGTGCAGATAGCACATGGAAGTTGGGAGGTTGCAGATAACCTATTTTTATATACATAGAGACCTCAAAATGTGGTCTTTTCTATCCTAGATTTTTAGCTGTGACCTTACTGGCCCACCTTTATATAGTTCTACATGCAAATATAATAATTTGCCCATAAAATCAAGCATTTTGAAATCATAATCTGGAATACAAGTTATGCCGTGTATTTATTAGTGTTATTATTATAAAATAACACACCTTTAATACCTTAAATCTACAATATGAAACAAGTACTAAAACTAACATTTTCGATTTAATATTAAGATCTTTTTTCACGTCGATTGACATTCCGCTATTCAGAATGCAAAACGAACAATGACAGATTACAAAATTAAGAGAGAAAATTTAAAAGTGTATAATTATAACAACATTAGTCAGTTTTAATATTTTTGTACTGGAGATATAAGGTATTAAAGGTGTGTTATTTTGTGGTTTATGCATATCCAGTTTTTAATAGTAGAGAAAGACATTATTATTATTTCAATATTTTGTAGTTCTTAGTTTATTTTTGAATTTGTTAGATAGAGACTTTTAAATTGAAAAGTTTTAAAAAATCAAATGTAAGATGCTTTGAGACAAGAAACGTTATGGGAAATAGGAACATTTTTTAAAATGAAAACAAGATAGGTATCTTACTGTAATACGATAATGAATGTTTGGTTTTGAAATAATGAACAGCTTTTCTTTGCTTCAAAGTCACCCTTATTACTATTTTTAGTTAACTGTACAAAAAAGAAAAATATTCATTTACAGTGTTAACATTGTTTTTTAAGTATCTATAATGCTAAACTTGATTTTTGTGCATCTGAAATATTGGGTAGTTGCAAATGAAATGACTGTTTTTTAAAATTTGAACTCTTCGGCTTTGTAGGTTAACTTTTTTGCGTGAATAGTGCTGTGTGTGTGTGTGCAATTGGAAGAGCACACATAATATGTGAATTAAAAATGTAATCTTATTTATATTGTGAGTTCCACATGTTTCAGAGTACTTTTTTCTGATAGCATGGAATAAAATGAAATTGAATAATTTTCTTTTATGTAGTATAAGCAGGGACATAACACAGTCAAAGCAACCTGAAATATCAATAAAACTTTTGGTGAGGATTCTGTGAGTGAGCAGGCAGTCAGGCAATGGTTCAAAAAATTTCATTGTGGGAATACAAATCTCAAAAATCAGAATTGAAGAACATCATCTGACTGTCCAAGAAGTCTTTGAAAGGTTGAACATACCAGACGATATTCAACCATTTCTCGACATCTAAACATGTTAGGAAAAATCAAGAAGCTCAACAAATGGGTACCACATGAACTCAGTGAGAGAAATAAATAGCATCATTTGGAGGTTTGCAGTTCTTTAATTATTCACCACAAAAATTAAAGTATTTATGTGATATTCTTCTCCAGCAACCTTATTCTCCAGACTTTTTGCCAACAGACTATCATACTTTTTATACATTTGGACAGTTTTTTGGCAAGAAAAGTCTTCAAGGAAGAGCACATAATAAAAAGTATCTTTGATGACTTTTTGGCTTCTCATTCTCATGGTTTCTATTAAATTGGCATTAATGCTTTTCTACTGCTTTGGGAAAAGTGTATTAATGTTGGTGAAGATAATTTTGGTTGAATATGTAAGTTTTAAATTAATAAACATTTAAAGTCAGAAGTAAATATAAGCCATTTTATATGCAACAACCTAATACTTTTCTGAGATTTAACAGTAGAAGTTAAATAAGTTAGTAGAAGTCAATTTTTTGTGGGATGTAAATATATGAAAAGAGGATGAAGACTGCTGAGAGGGAGTATCAAAAGAAAATTTATCCTGTGCCCCATACTTTACACTGGTCCATTAAGATTTGGGCAAATTTGACAGAAATGAATGTTTTTTTTCACATAATGTAAATTTTAACTAAGATGTTTAAGAATTAAAGTAGGGATTGGAAGAAATTTTTTAACTAAACAGTTTTAAAAACCAAGTCTGAAACTTATTAAATAATAGATTAATAATATTATTTGCAGTTGATGAGGATGATGATAATCAGAATATGAAGTATAAAGAGGACTCAAACTATTAGACAGTTTTAGATCCATATATATCTCAACAGTTCTCATAAGAGAGAGTTATAAAAAGAAATATATAGAAAAGTGGCTATATTCTTGTAGAATACAACTTAAGGAATATACAATTTGTATAATAATTGAATGTATATTTGTTATTTTAGACAGTCATTATATAATGCTCAATAATAAAACAAATCAATATTTAAAAAATCAGTTGCTTTATTTTCAAACTTAAAAGACCAGTTTCTAAAGATGTAATATTTTTTTTTATAGGTTTTACAAATTAAATGAGAACATGTCTTTAAAATACCTGACAGTATGTGAAAGATTGGCATTCCAAGCAAATGATACCCAAATAGTAATTGGATTTTAATAAGTTTATTAAAGTTATATGAATTAGTAACAATTGTAAATACTATTGTCAGTTTATTCACTCCACTTCTGCTGCTTCCCTTGAGGCAAGAAATGATCTACTTTGTTTGGTGTCAAGGGTAACTGCCCATTTCATATAATGGTAACCTATGCATCTCTGTTGTAGACAGACTGAATTTATCAATGCATGAATATATATCAGTTATATGCAGAAAATAAGGATAAAGGATACATTAAAATTCATTTAATTGACAATTATTAAAACTCAAGACATGTTTACTTGATGATAGATTATTTTATGATTGAAATGAGTGTCTTCACTTCGTTAAACTTAATAATATATAATTTTTTAAAAAAATCATAACACTTTGATATATAATTTATAAAATATAATTATTTAAGTCTGTAAAATTCTTAGTCTTATTACTTTATAAATTGCTCTGATAGTTTTGAGGCATACAAAAGTTAAATTTTACAATAAAAACATGCTTAAATTAAAATTAATTATTTAAGATAATGTCTGACATTAGTCAGATCTTTAATTTTGTAATTTGTTCACATATTGATTTGAATTAAATTGAGGAAACTTCATGACAGAATGAACTTCATATGTGATAATTCTTTTAATTATATAACAATAAAACTGTTCATTAAATCAAATTTCATTATTAACTTTTATAGTAGTAATAAATCTTACAGCAGTAAATACATTATCCAAATATGCATATAAGACAATAAAACTATTTTCAATACTTATAAAATACAAAAATTGTGAATTTTAAAATTTAAAATGAATAGTTTATTAGAATTCTTAAATTTTAATTAAAATTTTAAGAAAAGCTTAATAAAATAAAAATTTTGTAAAAACCTAAAAAAATATTTTATATTTATCTTATTTCAAGATGTTTGCTGTGTTCTCTATAGCAGTGTTTCTTAACGGGGGCCCATAAGAAGTTTTCCGGGGGCCACCAAATTATGCAAAATTTCCTTCAGAATATAATAATAAGAAAATTCATGTATAACTGAATATCGCATTGAAAAGTGAAATAAGAAAGATAAGTAAAAAAAACTAAATACGAAACTTTATTTCTTATTTCTTCCTACATACAACTTTGTTAGTACAGAAGAAATAAATGCAAATATGCTACTTACACTGCAGTATTTACTTCTTTTATTCCAAAATAATTCTAAGAAACTATTAATGCTTGGAAGTTTAAAAATAAAGCAATAATAAAAAAATCAGTTTATTATAGATAATTTAACAAATATAAATTATTATTTAAAAACATGGGGGTCACAAAACAATTATGAAATATTTGGTGGGCCACAAGTATAAAAAGGTTAAGAACCACTTCTCTATAGAATGAATCCATGAAAAAATTATGCTTATGTAAAATAACATATATCTTGGCAGATAAGACAAGGTATAAATTTTCATTCAAGTTTTATAGTAAGCATATATCTGTCCTATAAGACCACCCCCAAACTATCAACAGCCTATGAATTTAGTTTAGGTCAGCAATCATCACCTGAATAATAATACTGTATAGTGTATACGAAATTATGTCCTATTCATAATTTTTTAAATGAACAAATTTTATTTTTTTGAACCTTGCAGCCAGGGGCGTGTCGCGACATTTGATGATAGGGAAGCTGTGTTTCTATAAGAAGCCGGCATCCAGGGACA